TATTAAATATTAATTTTACGCCATGAATCAAATACTTTTTTTTTATAAACCTAAAGGACAAGAATTTCGAGATTTTGTAAGAATTACCCAATTATGTACGTAGCTATTCTACCATAATTATAGTGTATCATAGTGTTTCTCTTTTCTAATACTAGCACTCTACGTAGAGTGGATCTCTCTTTATTTTAGTAAAAACGATCACTATTTTTTTAAAAGCTTTTCACGGACGTTCAGAGAAATGGATAACAAAGAAAACATGCCATTATCACATTTTGCACTCGAATCAGAATATGTTTTAAGTAGGGATGGCAGTATTTGAATTACTTGTAATTGAAATACATATCAAGAAACAGTGGTAGGTTTCACCTACCGCCTCTTAAGCAGGGGCCGTGGATTCGAATCTCGGAAGTTATATGCGAAATTTAATTTGAAATGCCTTGAGCTTTTCGATGAATGAATACATCGTGATGAAACCTGCACGTCGAAGTAACGTCACAACCCTTGGAAAACGTGTGAAGTCCCCAACCCGCATTTGGGCCAGCGTGGATTATGAGCTAAATAGCTAAACCCTCGCCAGAGAGGAAACCCGTGCCTTGGGAAATACATATTTGATATTTCAGATATCTGACCGTAATGTACTTTGTAATTGACAGTTATAATACTTTCATTGTATTCGGTTGATAGGTTGATTTGGTTGATTGCAAATTGTGATTTATTTTCAATAAATGATAAAATACCGTATTTCATATGTTCAATACATTTCACGTATTTTGTATTTCAATTAAGACAAAAGCACGTGTTTTGCCCAGCCCTAGTAATTCGTAAAAAAAATTCGTATCCGAGAATATTATACAAATAAACTAGAAATTTAGAAAACTCGGACCCTCATCGGTTGTCGCTTGTGCACTAAGTCCGATTCTAATCCGAGAAAATACGAATATCGCTTGTACATCTAGAGATAAAATGATCCCTGTGACATTTCGGACCGTCATTTCTCGGATTCGGAACTGATCTGAATCGGACGTAGTGCGCAAGCGCTCTTATTCTGTATTCAAACCGTTGTGCGGGAATAATTACCTGTCACATCTTAAATATCAGGCTATGGTAAAAGCTTAAGGACGCATTTATTCGATTCAAATTTCATGGCGCTCACCCCGCGCGGCCGTCGCCGAGCGGAGTCCGCGTAACCGCCGCACAGCGACCGTGTGCTTCTAACTGTAATTGCAAAATACGCTCTTTTTACGCGCTTTTACGTTTTAACTTAAATGAACTGGCTTGAATTTGGTCTACGCGGCGGTTGTATTATTCAGAATAATTTAAATGTTGTTGTCTAGTAAATATAATTCAGATTCGCCTTTAATGTACACGAAGGTGTGGTAACTGGGCGGTAGCCTCACGGCAGCCGCACGAAAACTTTCTCCTCGTCTAAATGGGCGCTAACACTTCACACTTAATCTTGACCACGATATCTCCATTCTTTTCAACTATCCAGAATACTTGACACATTGACTTACAATTATATGGACGTCGGGTCCGCGCTAAAAAGTGTCCGAACTTATAGGGCGTTAAAATCGTATACAGAGCGTCATTCACGCTTTAGTCTTTGTTTGTTCGACTGACAGCGAAGCAAGCAAAATTAGACAGTACTGCGATGGCGTTACAATTTAAATTCAACGTTTTAGCTTTTTCATATTCCTTTATATGTCACTACGTTTAAATAAGTTGACTTGGGACATTTTTTTCGTGGTTTGTGTATTAGACCCGTCGTCCATTTATTTGTAAGTCAATGACTTGACATGTAAATTTCAGTATCTTTGTAACTCTAATGACCGCCCCCTTCGATCCATTAACTCTCTATACCTCTCTTTCATTCTGGCTTCATGTATGATTCCTTCACTCTCCATTCAACACCTCTCTGGAATGCTCTCCCAGACTCCATCAGAAGGTCGCCTAGTTTATCCTCTTTCAAAAAGAATGTCCATGAGTATCTTTTAAATTGTTTGTCACTGCGATAATCATCATCATCTTCTTCTGTTATTGTATGTATAATATATAAATATATATATACAGATAGTATGTATGTTAGGTTTGTTTGTTATGTATTTGATATTTATTTGTTATATTTAATTATATATTTGTTACATTTGTGTTATTATTAAATTACTAATTCAATATTTTGTTTAATTTGCCGCATTCGTGAATTTCGTTTTCCTTGAAGGTTGACTGGTAGAGAACGCTTTTAGCATTAAGCCGCCTTTCCTACCATTGTGTGTTGTGGTCAATAAAGTTTAATAAATAAATAAATATCACCTAATGTTAAGCCGATGTTGACGCGTTTGTCTTGTAAATGCCTATTCACTCTATCCTTGAATAACCCTAAATTAATTAATCCTAAATTCTAGCTTGACCCTAAATTGTTTCGGGAATATCGGTATTCAATTCCTTTGTCGTACGCGTCGGGAGGGATAAAGCAAAGCGTTCAGTGCGAATAGGTGGTAAGTCATGCAATGATTTTAAGGTTTTCGTAGTTATTCATTAAATGATTATTACTACACTTACTACTTATTTCGGAATGGTTCCATATGTTGACTTTTAAGGCAATGAAATAAGGGTGGAATGTTCTGGATTTTCTAGTCGACCAAAGCAAGAACGATTAGGGTGGAACTAAATTGTTAAGTTCATGCCTACATTCCAAAAAGTATCCGATGGTATTTCGAATTTATTTTCGAGTTTATTTGTATTACCCGTAGCCTAATGGTTTGCCCCACCGCCTCTCAAGTAGGGGGTCGCGGGTTCGAATCCGGACTTGCATATCTGAGTTTCTCAAAAGTTACGTGCGAAATTTAATTTGTAATTTACCATAAGGTTCATGACGAAGGAAAACATTTAACGATTTCTGTGAAGTTTACAATCAGCATTGAGCCCGCTTGGGAACTGCAGTCCAAGTCCTCTAATTGGGAGAGAGACCCCTGTGTTACTGTGTTTTTTTTGTATGTATGTTACGCGATAACTCCGGTATTTGTGAACCGATTTTCATGATTCTTTTTTTGTTGGAAAGAGGGTTACCTCCATAGTGGTCCCATTTAATTTTGAAGAAAATCATCCACCCCTAAGGGTGGCAGTTTACGTATGAAGATTCATTTTTATACAGCAGCTAAATTTTATTATAAGGAGCAATTATTTTAATGGTTGATTTTGCTATTCTCCAATTCAAGGCCTTTTTTTCTCTCAATATATTACTTTGAGTAGTGAGAACCGATTTTTATTATCTCCTGTGCCAAGTCCCGTATAGTGGCGAACTAAGGGATGAATCCGGGTTTGCGCACTTTCCGGTAACCGATTTCAATATAATTTGGTAATTATAATGTAATTCCACGTACTTTTGGAGTCAGTTTTTTTAGTACTCTGTACTGAGATTATTATTTTATTTTATTTAAACCCTCGCCTGCGAGGAGACCCGCGCAAAGCAGTGTAACGTATAAATGGGTTGATGATAATGATGATGTAAGTTTTGCGAAAGGTGTACATAAATATGTTTCGTTTATTACGAAGATTCAGTAGTTTGTCGTCAAGTTAATGTTTCCAAACCAATTATTCACTGTACCCTTGTATCTAAGAATAATCGTCCTTCCATCCACATTGTTGTAGCAAGTGATAAATCACCACGTACCTTGTCTTTTTATGAAACAGGTTCCGACATTACTTCAAAACATGACATTACAACACGACAAAAATAGGATCCAATTGTAATCTTATTAAATGTAAACAACAACAGAAATTTCAATTCCAACTGCTCGAAACAGATGTTTAACCGTTAGTGTATCTTAGACATAAACTAGGACAACATCTAGACTGAGACTAATTAGACACTGAAACGTCAGCTTGAGTTCGAGGTACAACGGAATTACTGCCGCAGCTGAGATATTAGAACATGTTAGTCAAAACTAGTGATTATTTATTCAAATGTTAAGCAAACAGCTCGGTTAAAGGGAAATGTACGTAATAATGGTAATAGGCAGAGTATATCTGAACATCAATTAAGTAATACACATAGAGTGAATAACACCTCCCACTGAAATCTCAGAATTATTGTATTGTATTTTCTTTTATATGTAAGTTTCAAGTGTTGTAAAAAATAAGTATTTTGTTTGATTTTTTAAAAATTTTGTTGTAATGATTCCGAAATTTCAGATGGAGGTACTATCTACTTTGCCTACTACTTGAAGATTGAGTAGAGGTATTCTACATATTCTGACCTCTTTCGTGATTAATCATTAACTTTGTAAGCAAAAGCTGCACTTCACAGAATATTGACATAAAAATCTCATTAGAGAGATGTAAAATGTTAGCAGACATGTCGCTATGACAGAGTCGCTGTCTTTCCTTTGATATGGATAGCTTATTACCCGCGGGACCCATAATATTTGTCCGCAGTTACAATTAGTCCTAAAACTTCTAGATTTGTTATAGTATTATTGGTACAATTAAATGATTCAGATATTCGAACGAACACTAAGAAACATTCCTTCGATCCGGCTGGATTAGAACCAGCGCCTTTAGCAAACCGTGTCTGACGCTCTCTCAATTAAGCTACAGAACGAACCAGACCTTACGAATTTTTTTGTGCTTGTTGAAGATTTTATTTTTGGTTTTAAATGCCATTTTTACCGTAGCGCCGTGAGAAAGAAATGAAAGACTGGTTGGAATCCAACCATATCGAAGGAATTTTTCTTAGTGTTCGATGTGTGTGTTAATAATTACAACAATTAATAGAGTAATTTCACAAAAAATAATTGAATATTGTAGTAAAACATCGTTATATTCAATAAAGAAACTTAACATTTTCAATACTGTTTTTTTTCTTTCGAAAACTGCTATTTCAATTTATTATCGTGTGTTTACACTATTGCAATATTTAGTAAATATATCTTTCAACAGTTTAAATGTTAATTTTGTTACTTGCAAAATAGTATTAACATAGTATAATTTCCTTGTTCCAGGATATAGATAATCTCATGACGGAAGGGAACAAATCCAGAACAGTAGCCGCAACGAACATGAATAGCGAATCTTCGCGATCGCATGCAGTATTTAGCGTTGTGTTGACACAGACACTATGTGACGCGGCGACTGGAGTGTCGGGGGAGAAAGTCGCGCGACTGTCGCTGGTTGATTTGGCAGGGTCGGAGAGGGCAGTCAAGACTGGTGCGGTGGGTGACAGGTTAAAGGAAGGATCCAATATTAACAAGTAAGTACAAGCTACAAATGTTGTAAGATTTTTTTATAATGTTGTAATAGTTTTGGTAGCAGTAGAGCTCCTTGGGAAGTACTGGTACCGAACTTATTTCTGCCACTAAGGAGTAATGTGAGCATTACTGCGTTTCCGGTTTGGAGGATAAGGGTGTTGGTGAAATTACAGGCACATGAGACTTATCAATTCATGGGGACGGGCGCAGTGGCAGTGCCCCTAAGACCTTTGCGATTTAAAGCTCTGAGTGGCTTTGCAACTGTTATGGCTAGGCCTGTGTCCCGTCATTTGGTGTTATAAAAAAAAAGATAATCTACGTGTTCTGGACAGATCTGAATGGAAGACGTGATAAAATCAGCACTGTACGCGATGTCCTAAACACAGAAGGTTATATCGCACTGCTATTACAATAGTGTTGTAACTCAAAATATGTAAAATTCGAGTTTATACTAATGCTGAACGTAAAATTTGATTCTCTACACATCAATAAAGCGTCATTAGAATATTGTAAGAAACAATTAAAAGATATGTACTTAACTCAAAATGAGACAAAAGTTTCTGTAAGTCTTTACGCAAATATAGGTATACCGACAAACAATTTTTAGATGTCTGTAATAAACTCTAACCATGTAGGCTTAAATATAAACTACATAAATTTATATTTAAATATAAATTACATAAATTTCAATATACATATAAATTTTAATAATCTTTCACGGAAAGTGAGTAAGTCGTTTTTCATCGATTCTGAAAAATACACATTTTGAGTTAGTACACTATTGTATTAACAGTGCGATATATTTATATTTATTAGACGTTTCACATAGAAGAAAATATGTGGTTACAAATGTGGTTTTAGCACATTTATGTGAACATCCAAAAAGTGGACACTAATCATTACATCACAACGGCACACTTAATACCATTTAATTATAGGAAATGAAACTTTTTCCGGATTTAAATCGCGTATATTTGTTTTTTCAAACAAACCGACCATTTAATTACTTAAATATAACAATATTTTAAATTAGGAGCCCCAGCGGAGATAAATCTTCTCTTTATCTCTAACATGCTTTTTTGCAACTGACCCGTCAGCTACTACGATGAGAGATTGTTTTGTAACAATAAAAACCTTAGTTCATAATACAAATGGGAATACGGCATCACTGTGTGTAATTTTGAAGCGAACCTTGTGTAATGCAGTGGCTAATTCACACCACAAGACCTTGGGTGAAATGCAACGCAATTTGCTTCTTGTTAATTCAAATGAAGCATGTGCAATGTCTCTCACATACATATTTCAGCAACTGAATAAATTTCCACACTGAACGTATAATTGCTAAATCATTTGTATTAAAGAATTTTAAATGTAAAAGAGACGGAAGATGGTATGCCGATCTAGTTTAGCTTGGAATTGTTTACTTGGATTATTTCAACGCAAACTATCGCGGAGTTAAATAATACGTAAAGACTTTTTAACATTGTAATTACGTGCAATCAAATTCGTTCGTAAAAACATGTGTACTTTAATTAATTAAAGGTTACCAATGTTGAGGTTCTTCATCGAATGGGCATAAAGTTGGAAATACTCAGAACTGTAAAAGACAGGAAGCTGCAGTATTTTGGCCACGTAATGAGGGGCAATAGATACCGGATTTTTGAACTAATAATGTAGGGAAAGATAAAAGGAAAGCGTAGTCGTGGCAGAAGGAAAACCTGGTGGTTGATGAATCTGAGAGACTGGGAGAGAACGTTTGCTAAGGTGGAACACCTTAGCAAACGTTCCCTCTTTCGGCAGCTTCAAAAACGAGAATAGCCTTGATGGTCGCCAACCTTCGTAGAGAAGCGGCTCACTAAGAATAAGATTAATTAATAAAAATAGTTTAAGAGTTTACTAGCCAGTAACTATGGGTATAACAATTTCACGATTCCCATCAGCATGCTTAGGAAATTTATCAGGAACTTACTAATTGGTATTAAATGGAAAATAACTTGCATTGCAGCAATTGTTGTCTGCCTTGTACATGGCTTCAGCCTTTATTCTTCAAATATCCACCCTTCGTCACTAGTACATACATGCATGCCTATACACTTTAGTTTTCCTTTAATACTTTTTAAATTTTTCCTTTAATACCTTTTTAATAAAGGGTTCTTAGGGTTCCGCGATCGTTACACATAGGAAATTAAACTACAATAACAATATTATAATAATAACGCACACATTCAACATAGCCCCGCACTAGGGAAACCCTGTGTTGCGGGTGCCATAGACACATACAAAGACAACCACAAGTTACACCCAAACTCACGAGAAAAATAAATGTAGGCCATACAAATATTTCTCCCGACCCGGGAATCGAACCTGGGACCTCTGCGTGGCAATCCGGCATGGTAATCGTTCGACCACGGAAAAACTACTAACTAATTAAACTATTTTTTTTTTCGGTTCTAAAATGCGTATATTTGTTTCTTCAAACCAACGTACAGGTCCCGTGTTCCGTGTCCGTGTGTCCCGTTACAGGCAGCCGTGGGCATGAGACCTAGATGACGGATGCGATTTAGTGCGGTTACACACGGCGACTTTAGCAACGATGCAAACACGATACAGTAGCGATGCAGTCGCTGATCGTCTTTTGCACACGCGCGATTTTAAAAAGCAATGCAAACTGGATGCAAACTCGCGACTGCATCGATACAAAGGCGCGATTGCATCGATGCAATCCCCTATAAATCCCAAGTGTAGCGATGCAATCGCGCGTTCCACGAATGCGCGCACTCTTAGATTCGAAAAAAAAAAGATTAATTTCCTATAGCTTATTAATTTCCCCTTTCATGCCACTTTCAATTTGCCTTCAATACCTTTTTATTTTTCCCTTACTTTCCCCTTACAACTTTTTATTTTTTCCTTGTAATAACTTTTTAATTTTAAACAAATACTTTGTTTTTGCAGATCATTAACAACACTGGGTCTCGTGATATCGAAGCTAGCAGATCAGTCGTCAGGCAAAGCGAACAAAGACAAGTTCGTACCCTACAGAGATTCAGTACTCACGTGGCTCTTGAAAGACAACCTTGGTGGCAATAGTAAGACTGTTATGGTACGTATTACTTCTATTTAATGAATCCATCCATTAAGGCACACACTAAAAGACACGGCATAATGACTCTTTATGGATCGTACAGAGTATTAGTACACTGCCCTCCTTGTCATAACTAACACATGTGCATTTTGGCAACCTTCGAGATATGGGCACCTAAAGTTCTCTTTAGAAAAATGACATTTTCGCTGATTTTGCTTGACAATAAATCTGAAACTAAATTAGATATAAAAAAACTCGTTCTCGTTCTAATGTGATTCTGTGGAAATCAGCTGCGATCCGAAACCATTCGTGTTGCGAATTGGAAGGATGTGTACGAACATTTGTATTTCGTATGTTAATTCCATTACTAAGATTTCAAATATCGATCTCCTAGTATGAATCATAGATTTTGGTGTGCATGATGATTGTCTTTTTAACCGACTTCAAAAAAGTATGTACGCGATTACTCCGGCATTTGTGAACCGAATTTGATAATTCTTTTTTGTTCGAAAATTAGTATTGGTCCTATTTCAATTTGAAGAAAATATTCCACCTCTAATATTGGAAAACTAGGCGATGAATCCGGTTTCGCGCACTCTCTCTTTTTTCAAGTCGGTTCCTTTTTTAACAAAAATTATTTTTATCAGTTATTATGATAAACGATTAACCTGTACCAACGTCCGCTTTTAAAATGTTACTTCGCCTTGTGAACGCTAGGGGTACAATAAACCATGAAAATTTGTCAAATGATGTAAATTTGGCGCCAGGCGCACGACTTGTTCGTCCCGTCACATGGTATTAAAAAAAAAATATTGGTACAGGCACAGTATAGAAATTGAATGACCGATTATTGTTATTGCGTCGTATATACTGTTTTATGTCCTCCATAATGTGGACTGACGATTTGGTAAAAGCATGTGACATTATTGTGATGAAGCTCTTGTTTCGGTAGAGGCATGTTAGGCTCAATTTACATTGCGGTGGAGCGGAATAAAAAAACTGAAGTGTGCTGAATAGAGTAAAATATATCTTATTCGATCGTTAACGAGACAGTGATTCACTCCCTAACCGACCTTATTTTAGGGTCTGTGTGATATATATTGTGCTTGGTTTATTTCTGTAAAGTTACTTTGAATGAGAGTTATATAATTATAACTTTTTTTATTAAAAAACAACCGACGTCAAAACTTAACCGCTTTCGCTGTCTTCGTTACATCTATTTACCAAGTTTTATTAAAATTGGTTAGCGGAAAGTTGGTGAAATCCAATGAACCAGATTCATTCCCTAATTTGCTGTCCTTAGACATGGAATATTTTCTTCAAATTTGAATGAGACCACTACTGAGATATCCCTTTTCCAATAAAAAAAGAATCATCGAAATCGGTTTTCAAATATCAGCGCAATCGCGTAACATACACACACATACACAAAGAAATGCACTCGAATTGACAACCTCCTCTTTTTTTCGAAGTCGGTTAAAAATAATGTAACTGGCATGAAACTATTTTCTTTTAATTAAAACACAAGGGCACATTTCACTTCTTTCTCATCTATTGGAAAGTGACAATGGAGTCGACGATAAATAATGCCTATTCACTCTCACCATGAAAAGGTCCAAGTTATACCGTTCAAGCCTGCAGGCAGGGAATTCTAATTCCTTTTCAACCATAGATACTGTTACACTTTTTGTTTAAAGTACTGATAATTGTTCTCTGAATTGGCCGTGCCTACGTCAAGCGAAGCCAAATTACTGTACGAACTACACACTTAAGCAGTCTGAAACCATTATGGGTGTCATAACTAAGTATTCCTGGAATGACATTACCATTTTGTGTACAGTTAAAGGTCAAGTTCGTAAAGCTGACGTCATAATTCAGTTGGGAAATGAAGTTCGTTGAGTTATTTTTCTTCTCACGATTTTTTTTTATACTTTGTCAATTGTATTTTTCATTACCAATATGAGTGGAATTTGGAAATTCAACCAGTGTTGATAGAGAACTTTGACCTTCTCGCGTAATGTGTAACTTTCGTTTTTAAGGCAATTTTCGTAACTTTTAAGGCGTTACGATTTTTAAAATTATTATATGTTATATTTGATAATGTAAATCCTAAATAGTTTGCAGTCGCAACAAAATATAACAAAAAAAAAAAACTAATGGACGGCGCAATTTAAATGAAATCAATCGATTATTGGTTATCGCTTGATTTTTGTTAAGCGTACGTTTACTGTTTTATTTTTAGGATTTAGGCATTATATATCCTTTACAGTTATAATAGTTATTAATTAAAAAAAAACGAACTTGTAAATTGTAACTATTGCAGATAACGAAACGTAATTTTCGACTCAAAGGCCTTGGCAGCACTGAATTCAACCTTTAATAAAATGCAAACGTCTTGGCTGTGAAATTACCTTTTAGTTATAATTTTCCTAAGTAATAACACTGACAATTTGAAAGGTATGTTAAGAATTATATGAAACAGTTAATTTACTCTAAGTGGTATGTTAAACTCGACCTTGCGTGCAATATGACATGGTTGAATATAATCAATACATTGAGTCCATCGTTCTACACATACCTTGTAACAAGTAACAAAGTGCATATTGTGTCTTTACATTTATCATAACCGTCAGAATGGTTAAGTGGGTTGGTGATCACAAAAACTGCAATAGGAGACATTTTATTTGTAGCCTTACTGTAGGTATGTAATTGGTTGGCCAAAAATACCGTGCGGTTTTAAGGAACACTTAGGACTCTTTTAAAAAAACATTTTTATTTTAAAATGTTTTATATTGCCTACGGTCATTTTAAGAATAACATTTTAAGAATAGACGGAAAAATTTAAGTTTATAATTCGTAAAAAAAAAAACGCCCAAGACTGGTGAATCGTAAAAGCAATGTCAGCGGTACTGTGTTTCGGTTTTGAAGGGTGCTGTGAATGGCACTGCAACTGTTACTTACCATCCGGCGACGACGACGCGACGACTTGTTTGTCCTGTCACTTAATATTATAAAAAAAATAATAACAGCGCGGCTTGTATGTTTGCGCGCCGGCGGCACGCCGTGTACGGACCCACACTTTCGCATAATCTCACGATGCACATGAGTTGCATAACACTAGTCGTTCTAACATGCTTTTAATTATTATGCGAATGTGCTCATCACACATACAAGCCGCGCTGTTACTTTGTACTGAGTTACCACCATATTTCTCCACCATCTTCATAATAATGCCTAACCACACATCTTTACAACGCCGTCAAAGGCGATTACGATTAGGTTTTAATGCATTATCCACTGTATTCACCCGACGTAGCTCTTTCAGATTTTCACTTTCCTTACAATATTCACTTAAAGCTGTATTTTGTAACAGAAGACAGGAATTTTAAAATTACTCGAAATATTTGTAGGTAGGTCAATAGAAATTTATCAAAAAGTTGTAGATCAACACAATTCGCACCCGTCATGGAAGAATGACTTAAGTGAAGCTACGTCAAAAACGTTTATTGCTCCATTGGATACAGAAAAATATAACAATATTAGTCGATAGAGTTACAAGAATTTGAGAGGATGTGGGTTATATTTTTCTGTATCTAATGGAGCAATAAACATTTTTGACGTAACTTCACTTATGCCTATCTTCCATGAGGGGTGCGAATTGATTGAAGTTTGTTATTTATTTTTTAAAGTATTTCTCATTTATACCTAGTTACCGTACGGACTTTTTGGCCAAGCCAATAATATCATTTGTCCCTTTTAGGTAGCAACTATATCCCCCGCTGCAGACAACTACGAAGAGACACTATCAACTCTTCGATACGCCGACAGAGCGAAGAGGATCGTCAACCACGCTGTTGTCAACGAGGACCCGAACGCTCGCATCATCAGGGAGCTGAGACAGGAAGTGGAGGCGCTGAAGGAAATGCTTAAATATGCTACGGTAAGTTTCTATGTGCTTAGATAAGGTAATCGTGCTAAAATCGGGGCTTACAAATACCCCAGGACCTTCGGGAATGACGCCTCATGAGCTAATATTTTACTGACAATTACGAACCAGACCGTAATTGATGGTGAGAAGACCTCCATACTCAACTATTCCCCAGATTATGGAAACCCAACCAGGGAATATAAACCTATAGATCAAATGCAGGCTTGTAATTACACGTCAGACCGTAGATGGGAGTTTGGCGTAGTAACATGACGCCTCTGACGACTCCACTACGAGTTGGCCACGTTGTTGGTCAAATTCTGGAAACTTCTGTGGTACTAAATTAATGAGGACTGACGTATATCCGTTACTTAGCGACTATTCTTGTTTAATCATTCGATTATTTATTGAGCAATATAAAGATGTTCACTTAATTTGAATTTCTTATTTAACGTACATAACAATAATATTACATGTAGCTTTCGCGATGCACTAGTGAGCGAAGTTTATACTAACTATACCTAAATGAAAAGGTTAAGACTGTATCTACTAAAGCTAATTAAAATTTAACATTTTATAGAATATGGGCTCAATAAATAATGTATGTTGTAAGAATTTACCTTCATTAAAACTACGCTAAGTGTTAGTCATCTATTAAGGTGCGTGCTGATTTGCTCGACATTGTCGATCGTTAATGCCTGTCGACAATATCAATCGACAATATCGATCGAGTGGCTATAGATATAGTTTCTCGATAGATATGCTGTGTTATGAGACAAATTTTGCCGCATGTTTACTTGTAAAGCTGCAAGTACATGCAGATATACATATAGTGTACAGTACAGTACAGTGCACGTACTTGCAGCTTTACAAATAAGGATATGGCAAAATTTCTGTCTCAAAACATCATATCGATCGACAAAATCGCGCATGTCTTTGCCTGACCGACATTAAATGTGCCTACAGATGTGCTCGATTTTAACGATCGACAATGTCAATCAAATCTGTAAGCACCCGATCGACATTGTCGATCGATATTAACGATCGAGAATTTCGAGCAAATCTGTAGGCACCTTTAGGCATGATATTTTCAAATTATGTGCTAGGGAAGCAGTTAGCAAACTCTTTCCGTTCGTATCAATTTTGTTTTCATTGTATGTTTTAGGTTTGGTACGTTTCCAAACCTAAAACATACTGAGTCGGTTCTAATAACAATCGTATTAGTTCTCGTCGATTTCAATAAGCTATTGTAATGCAAATGTAATAATTATACTACTAAAACACTTCCTCTCAGGGTTCACCGGTGGGTGACGACGTACACGAGAAGCTAGCGCAGAGCGAGCACTTGATGAAGGAAATGTCAAGAACTTGGGAAGAGAAACTCGTTGAAACAGGTATCTACTACTGCCCAACACCTGCACATCTCCATTTTTCACTTTTGATTCCCCTTCTAATTCCTCTTAAGAGTTGATAGACCTCAAATGGCTTAAAAAATTCTGTATAACAGTGAAAGTATTGAATCAATCATTTTGGTAAAAATATATAGTAAAATTGTGGATATACACTGATACGATGTGAAAGCATGATTCCTAAATATTTTCACGATAGAAAAAAAAACTTACCTCGAAATTTTACAAGAAAACCGCTCTATATTCAAAAGTTGCTTTACGTATACCAATGATTTTTTTTATGTCAACTGAACTAAATAGAACACTATAGTATACGACATACATTTTTCTAATGGCTATAATTTCTTTTGTAAATTAATATAATATATAATATAAATAAAAAATAAATACTGAAAGAACGCTAGTGTCCCTGCTGCTCGACCCTAGCAAAATGAACCGTATTTGTACGGGAAAAATAGTATCTACTCTAAAGAGAAGACAGTCCAAAGTATTGTTTATGATCTTATAGACCAAAATAGTTTAATATAAAATGGTGGAGGTCTCTTCTACGAACTGCGCTTAGCAGAGGGTTTTGTTTGAAGAAGAAAAAGCTCAATCCATTCCATATTTGTATCACTCGACACTCGTCTGATCTGTACTCTGCCATTCGACTTGTGCGAGTGAGACGTCGCCCCTTTGCGAGCGGGATTGCCCATGAACCGGCAACACCAGATAGCCTCTCTATTATTAATTAATATTAACAATATACAGTTACACGTTATGAACAATAATAATGTTAACTACTACACTAACTTGACTATCTATAGGAATATGTTATGACCAAATAGGTACTATAATAATTTAGGGCCAATATACAAAATTATTCTTCGATAATGTACAGGTTTTTTATTTATTGAATATCATGTTTTGCTACCATGATATATACATATGTATGTACATAGAGTGAATATATATAGTGCAAATACTCCACTAGTTTGTTATTATTGTTGATGCAAATATTCATAAATTTCTCTCAGGTGGTGCTGATGGCAAAAAAGCCGCTTCAACCCAATACATAGATCTGTTACAAGCACATGAAAAAATTTGTAAGACCAATAGGGCTAGTACGACGACAGGGCGTCATATGAGAGCGACAGAAAGCGCGACAACCTGCTACTCTCGCATACGGATCTCGCGCTTTAAGTCGCTCTCACGTAAGGCGCGCCAGTTGTGCTAGCCCTAATGCTGACTTGGTCTGCAGCTCAATTGGTAAGAGCGATGGCCACGGCGTGGCAACAGACTCTGGTTCGAGTCCAGTCAAATCGAAGGAATTTTTCTTTGTACTGTTCGATTTTTGTATCCGTATTGAATAACTTTCAATAACTTAATTAAATTTTTATTGAATTTATATTCAATTATTTTTTGCGAAATCACTCCACTAGTTTGTTATAATTATTAATACAAAGACCGAACACTCAGAAAAAATTCCTTCAATAAAAATTTAATTAATACAGTGAATAGCGACATCTCTCGCCAGGACTGGTAGCTGTAAAGGGTGATAAATCTTTCATAGATTTCTCATAGATGGCGCTAAGACTAAAAAGTCGTTGAAAAACCAACTACAAAGACACGACGCAAGCACATAGAGAAATTCGTGAGGTCCGTTGGTTCGTTCCGTGGCTTAGTTGGTATAGCGTCTGCCACGGTATGCAAGAAGACGTCGGTTCGAATCCGACCGGATCGAAGGAATTTTTTCTGAGTGTTCGGTCTTTGTATTAATAATTATTTCAATAACTTTTTAAATGATATTATTATTTCAGGTCGAGTACAAAGCGAACGTCAACAAGCGTTGGAGAAGATGGGCATCAGCGTTCAGGCGAGCGGTATCAAAGTGGAGAAGAACAAATACTACCTGGTCAATTTGAACGCTGATCCTTCGCTGAACGAGCTCTTGGTTTACTATCTGAAGGTAATTACATCATTTTCAAACTGTAACTTACAATATAAAAGAAGGAACGTAAAAGTTAGCAGTCAGTGCTATGTTGTTGTATGTAACTGTGATTTATATGAATTTCAAATATACAGTGTAACATAGATCGATGTTGTGCAGAGTATATATGGAATGATTAAAAATAAAATGCAGTAAATTAAAATGAAATACTTATATTTTTGCTTACAATTAGAAAAAAATTCTTCTAAATATGCTACCGTAATAAGGTAACTTCACACCAATACTATAAAACAATGTACAATGTAATCATTCCGGGACTGCAATAGAAGGTATTATCTACTCAATAATATTACTGGCCGTGATTTTTAAACCCAAACTCAAACTTAAAATAATAATATTAATTAAATTGCTATTTCAAACTGTACTACCCATTTGTCAGGCAGATTCCGCTGAGAATAATTAAATAAGAACAACTTTTAGGGTTTGCTTAGGTAAATGTACTTGGTCTGTTTTGATCTCTGTTGTACTTTACTTAGTATACGCGGTCACCACATAACAGTGAATTTCGGGTATTATAAATAACTGAATTTAAAAAGTGTCCCTTAATAGACGATATCGTTTCAAAGACTTATTTATTATATATCGTATAATTATGAGTGTAAAGTAGAGACGGGTTGTGTTGTTAGTCCCAGACTTGCCACGTAAGCGATAACTTTTCCACTTGCTAGAGGAAACTCTTGTAGGACGGATTTGGGTTGTTAATGATCAATTTAGCTTTTGTTGGACAAGACTGACTGAAATCGCGGTAGTATTTTTTATTAGTGATACAAGTCTCTGTATCGTGCGCAACAATTCCTATTATTTCTTTCAGGACCGAACACTTGTCGGCGCAGACAGATCCGCTGACATTCAACTGTCAGGTCTTGGTATCCAGCCCCAACACTGCGACTTACTTGTAGAAGGAGTTGCCCTCTTTATGGAACCTCTGAATGGAGCCAGGTGTTTCGTCAATGGCACTCCAGTTGTGTCTAGAGTGCGGCTCGGACATGCCGACCGGATTTTGTGGGGCAATCATCATTTCTTCAGAGTGAATTGTCCGAAGAATCAGAATCAGAGTAAGTGGTTTATATATTTTTTTCATTTTTGAGGTAATAATGGATTTATCTTGTATTAAGAAAAGTGTAAAGAATTCAAATTTTTACCATTGACCAATGATTCGAGAGGACTGCTAATCGCGATGCAAGATAATGTAGTCGGGTATTTAGTACACGTATTGGTACACCAGATGTCGCTACGAGCACTAAATAGTTATGTTTGTAAGCAATTTGTTTTACATTGATGGGCTGCAATTCATAAAACTAACCTAACTAACCAAAATAATTCGTATCGTAATAATTCATAAAACTAACCAAATCAACGAGATGGCGCTTATTATACAGATTTTTATAGATAGTGCGGGCTATTCTTTTATTTTGTTTAGGATTAGCTCCAACTACCCGTATTAGGAAGCGTTAATGTAGGAATTCGTTTGTAACATACAATTCACATGTATACTTGTCAAAGTTCAGAGAATAATATTAGCTCATGTATTTGAATAATATTATAAGGAAAAAAAACTAACATGTTATATTTAATATTAAAGAGGAATTAATTGATATCTACGGCCATTTACATAATATAAACTACTTCCAGGCTATTATCAGCGCCATCTCGACATAAGACGCAATTTGCCATATTTCGGAGTTACTAAGTATAGTATGGAGATTAGCAGTCTTCTAGAATTATAAATTGCGGATATATGTTGGTTATATTGAAAGAAACATGCGTATTTAATTTATATTTTTATGTTCTCTTTCGAATTCATATTATGTCAATTCATATGCATGTTTTAGAGAGTCATACTAAATCATAGTGTAAACATACCGTGCGTTAGATTGTCTACTTTGCCAGTCAAGCATAATATAAACGAATACAAAATCATAAATAAAGAAAAATCCTTGAATGGTCATATACGTATGTGACGTTCCACGTAGTCTTTTTAGTATTCCGTATTTACCAAGCTAATACTGTCAAAATTAAAAATGAAGTAGATTTTCATGACTAGTAGATATTCTATTACAATATAAGAAATATTTCCAACCCTCAAAGTAACATATCCGACGTTTCAGCAACATCAGCGTCTGAGCCGCAGACTCCCGCGCAGCCGATCGATTACAACTTCGCGCGTGACGAAATCATGCTCAATGAGTTGAGTAACGATCCCATACAAACAGCTATATACAGGCTTGAGAAACAACATGAGGAGGATAAACAAGGTATTTACTTTTTTATAATTAAATCTCATATGTTATAAACCTTAATGCTAACTAGTTTTATTGAATAATGAGAAATCTGTTATTTACAACTGTAATAGATGTGACTTAGGTTTACAACAATGTTCTTTTCGGATTTTTCATGAACGATCCGAAGATTGCGAAGTTTAGATAATAGTCTACCTATCTATCCCAAATAACACGATTTGTGATGTACTTAACTGATGTCCCGAATCCCGAAAACGTCGGGAACGAATAAATGTTGTAAGGAAGTCTTCAATTTCCATTTCTATTCCTCGAAGTTTAGGTAATAAATATGGTCTACCTATTCTGACCACTGGTGATAACATATATGTATGTATGTCTATGTGTATCTATTTATGCAGTTTACTCATTTTGAAATTTTGGTAAAGATAAAAACTAAATAATCTTACTTTTTCTAAGTTACCTGTAAAACAGTGTTCAGCTATCAAATTCTGTAACTGGAGTAGTTATAACTTGGAAAGAATATATCGGTAATAACGTTTAATATTCATTAATTAACTGATATTCTACACAAAATAGCATTATTGTTTAAAAAATAAATATAAATAAATAAATCGTCAATTTTTAAAAATAACACTTGGCGGCCACAAATTTATAATCCGCCAAACTGCAGGACAGTTTGTTGGCGGAGACACTCGTGTTTAACCTACCTATTTATCGTACATAACATTAGATATATCAGAATACAACGCTTACTTATCTGAATTTGTGATAAAAATTTCACTTTCGTTTTCTTTTTACAGTTAGTTATTTAGGTATATTATTTTCGTAAATATTCAAATGTAATTGTAGATAACAGCTAGTAAATGGTTTCTAGTTCTTTTGCCAAAGTATTTTATAGTTCTAGGTACAATTTATTTTTGTTGCTAACACATATAGAGGTGTAATAATAATAATGTGCCAGAGAACCACACCAATTGCCTTCTCTCAAACTAGGGAATTCCCTGTATGACTACCCGAGCAACGAAAATCACTCCGGGGCCCTACCCAGAACACGCAGACCAGTCTCAATTTAGAAAAGGTCATTTCCCAATTTGGTCCTATCGGCAATAGAAATCTTGACCTCTTCATCCAACGCCCACAGTATAAACCGTTGGGCTACCGAGGTCGTTAAAGAAGAAGGTTATAAGAAGGTTCAGAGCAGTTGTAAAACCGAACCCATCAGTATTTCGCCAAAACTCATAATTGTTTGACTTTTACTTGAAATAGCAGTAAATTATATATCGCGAATAGTTCCACATAGTTTTTGTCACATTTTTTCTTTAAAATCTTTATCAACCAGCTATTTCAAATATCTTATTTGTAGATGCTTAATTTGTTCTAGATAAGACGCAAACGTAATCGCATAACTAACTTGACCTTACAAAAGAATAGACTTGGCAAACGCGTATGCACCGTGTATAAAGTATGTATCTTGTCTTAATGTATTTTATAATAATTATTTAATTGCAGTGGCCTTGGAAAAACAAAGACAGGAGTACGAAAGACAGTTCCAACAGCTCAGAAATATCCTGTCACCATCTACACCATATCCGCCATATTCCTACGATCCGCTCAAACTTGGTGAGTTTGAATATACAATTTTTAGTACAAAGAATCAAATATTAGATTACAAAATATATACGAGTATATTTCCCTCAAGAATTAACTTCGATTAAGTGTGTCGGGTGACTACTACCGGTCTATAGGTCTGTTTTCATTAAATAAATAAATAACGCATACACTCATAGCCCTTCACAACGGAAACCTTGTGTCGCGGGTGCCTTGGACGCACATAGGTATGTATAGACAACCACAAATTACACCCAAACTCGCGAGAGAAATAAATGTAGGCCATACAAATATTTCTCCCGATCCGGGACCTCTGGGTGGCAGACTAGTATGGTAACCGTTCGTCCTCAGATGCAGTTTCATTATTTCTGTATAACTGATGTTTTCTATATAATCTTATTTCTTCTCGATAACTCGATTGTCAGTCTAGAAAAGAAACATTTGAAACGTTTTCCTCACTAATCTCATACGTACAGACATAGAAAATAGAGGATCCCCATAACCAGTTTGATCCTCCCGGATCCCCAGAAGTTTGGCACATACTTAACATAGCTTTAATAATAACAAAAAGTAATTTACAGGTAAAATGACGGCCTGTACACCAACGACAGCAGCACGCGTAGAACGCTGGGCAGCAGAACGTGACGACACCTTCAAACGGTCTCTTGGACGACTCAAGGCAGACATTTTAAGAGCCAATGCGCTGGTGCAGGAAGCAAACTTCCTCGCCGAAGAGATGAGGCGAAATACACGGTTTAGTGTTACGCTGCAGATACCGCCGCAAAATCTCAGTCCTAATAGAAAGGTACTAGAGGTTTTATTCGAAGCTCATAGCAGTGTAGCGTAGAGCGCTTCGACGATTTCTCTTGAAATCATTATCTCCATCGTCAACCATACGTCCTAGTACTAGGTACAGATCTCAGAAGAGAAGGTCTGGGCCCATTTTGAAAGATTTATGAATTTTCTTCGACACGTATAAGTAATAATTTTATTTAGAAATTAAAATCATAGATATTTGCCGCAACAGGGATTCGAATTGTCAACCTCTCAATCGAGAAGCAATTGTTCTTCTACTAGTCTACCACTATTCCTTTAATGTATCTTGAAATAGTTATATTGAATTGAATTCCAATATGCTGATCATAATCGTACTTAGTCACTGAACATTTTTGTTGCAGCGAGGTGCGTTCGTATCAGAGCCAGCTATAATGGTAAAGCGGCCAGGCCGAGGTGGGCAAGTGTGGTCGATGGAGAAGTTGGATAACAAATTGGTCGACATGCGCGAAATGTACGACGAATGGCGCCAACAGCAGCAGCGCGAGGACAAAATCGAGGAGGTACGATTCCAATTGTACTTCTTAGAGCTTTATATAGTCACCTATGGGTGACATGGTAGACTATATAGTTGCAAGAAGGTATGTAGATATAAATAACAATTGCCCCAAAGAAAAAATATAAAAGCACTGGATGACTGCCATGATGACAGAAAGACTATCTTTGAACATACTTCTAATATTACACTGTGTGTATGGAAAAATCGTTGAAATGTACAAATATAATTGATTAGTTTATCAAGACACTATTTAGAATTTGCATTTGTTTTGGTACACTATTGTATTTTATATTATCTATTATTGTTTATATTAGTGACGATGATATTATCATAACTTGATTTTTTTTTTTCAAATTGTAATATTTATTATTTCTATTAATTAATTTTCTCCAGCACCTAGACGAGAAAACTCTCGATCCTTTCTACGAGTCACAAGAGAATCACAACCTGATCGGAGTGGCGAACGTGTTCCTCGAAGCTTTGTTCCATGACGTGACGTTGGATTATCACACGCCAATCATCAGTCAGCAAGGAGAGGTCGCTGGGAGGTTACAGGTAAATTGAAGCTATAGATTTTTTCACATTCGTCATTTGTATTGGGAAGATTGGCGGAAGTGATAGGATTTAAAAAAATAGGTGTACTATTTTTTACCTGTAGGTTTTCCCCAAAGCTTGATAAAAAGTACCTTGTGTGCTTATCTAGGATGTGGGCTATCATCCATAGAATATCAAAATAATATAATTGGAATACAGTGGAACAAGTAGTAATAAACCCCAAAAATTATGCAAATTTTTTGTAAAGTGTAGTCGGACCATCTTCCATCAGCAATAAGTCCTACAGCTGGTTATGAATTCATTTCAACTCGAAATAAATCACAATATTTTGTTTCTAGGTGGAACTAAGTCGTGTTTCGGGCCAATTTCCCCAGGACAGGATCTGTGAAGCAGCATCAGACAGTTCTGGCGATATGCGCGATGATGACGACTGTGTCGAACAGGCTTCACAACAGGTGTTTAAATTATTACTTTACTGATTAATTGAAAAATTAGATTTTTTGTAAGTTTTATTTGTTACAATCGTCATGACTGGAAAAATTCAACGTGATACTAGTGCTGTTGCACACGAAGTAAATTTTTTCTACATTATTTCCAACACGTATTGTATAACCAAGAATGCATATACGACGATGTGTACAATAATCATTATGTTAACCCCGAACATGATGAAGATGAAACTGAAGTTAGTTTTTCGATATTTCAACAAGTATAGGGATAGAGGTGGGGATATGGTCCGTCCTTTTTTGCAATATTGTCTGTGATATGTAGCTTGTATAGCGCCACTCCAGTCTGATCTCACAAATAGTTATTACTGTTTCTTTGTAAATCGTGATTTCGACAATATAAGAACTGACAATATTTAATTTTTCACCGGATTTCGAATCTGTTTCTGTTCGTATTTGGTTATTTATCAATTATTTTTTTACACTGTGAAAATGAATGTATATTATAAAGAATTATTTATTTCCAGGTCACAATAAGTGTAGTAATCAAACAAGCTACCGGTCTGCCTCCCTCTTTATCCCACTTCGTCTTCTGTCAATACAACCTCTGGGGCAGTGGCGAGCCAGTGGTGGTGCCTCCCCACGTGAGCGCGGACACCCCACCCCCCATTGCGCCGACGTCCCCTCGCCGCCAACCGCAGGTCGCGTTCCGATTTGACCATAAACAAGAGTTCACTGTTCCGCTCACCGAGGAGTTCATTGAACATTGTGCCGGTAAGTATTTTGCAAGAGACAGAGTTATCTATAAGAATGACATGGAAATATCCTCCGAACTTTTCTCGTTCTGTTGCCTAAGTTGAGTGATCATTTGCAAGACTAGAGATACCAGGCATATTTGATCAATTTTTTTTTGTGAAATTTACATAGAAAGAAAATTTAATGCCAACATAAACCCGTATAGAAATCAGCATTATTATACATCTTGTAGAATTTAGTGTATGGGGAGAAATAACGAATTGTATTTGTTTACAAATTTTACTTTTATTCTTAATTTTTTGTTCTATGTAATTAGGAATAACCAGGCCAGAGAGGTCCTTTTTTAGGAGCCACTTGCATTAGATCATTACCTTCCCCGCAAACACAGCTGATCTACTAGACATTTAGCGCTCGCAGCTGCTTTTTTGAATGGATTTTTGTTCTAATTTAACAAGAACCTACAAGAAACCAAATGTAGTTTTTTTTTACTAAATTGTAACTTAACAAACGCGTTACTAACATTTTGTTTTCGAACTTTCAGAGGGAGCTCTATCCATTGAAGTGTGGGGTCATAGGTCGGCCGGCTTCAGCCGCGGTCGCGGTAACTGGGAGGTGGAACAACAGCAGCTGGCCAAGGCTCGGTCGTTGGCAGACCGGTGGGCTGAACTCACGCGCAAGATTGAACTCTGGGTGGAGATTCACGAGCTGAACGATCAGGGAGAATACGCACCTGTTGAGGTAACAATTATAAATAGTTACTTTAATTATTGGTGAAACATAATATCCTTAGGAAGCTTGCTCGGATGTTAATATGTTTTAGCAAGAAAATTTAGAAGAGAAAAGAATGCAGTGATTTTTATAAAAATGGACTTCCGCAAAGTAACGCCTGAATGTAGTGATTTTTAAGTTATTTTATTTTACTTGTAGTTTTGTCTTCTTGTATCATCCTCGAAATTACCAACGGAAGTGCGACACAGTTGTACTAACCAACCATACCAATTACCTGGTGTAAAGTTTCTCAAATTGGTCCTACTGGGAATCGAACCCGGAACCACCTCATCTAGCACCCACACTGACACCCGTTGGGCCTACGAGGTCGTCACATTGTACTTCTGTCTCACGCGTCTCAAATGTCGATGTAAATAAGTTCTAATTGTTGTGATGTAAATCAAAATAAGTCGAATAGGTAATTTCAATTTATATCCCAGATCGTCAAAAACAAATACGTAATGTAGATGTTATTTATGTATTTCGGTTTCAAATAATTATGGGTGTTACGATAAAGGTTGTTAGGTTTTCAACTAAGCATAATTAGCACGCGCCACTGATCTTGCCATCACATCGCCGCACTGACCTTGAGTATGATAGCAGTTGGCGGGCGGACGCTGTGCGGAGGCGCGGGGGCAATGTTACGATTGCATCGGCCGGAGTGCGTTTCGCGTAGTGCGTCTAAACACGTGGCCGTTTTTTGTATAAGTTTGTGAAGACATATCTTAACATTTTAGTACTGGCTGATACTAAAATAAATAAAACGTATATCATAATAAAACGTATATTAATTATGACCTTGTATTGTTCTAGGTGGTTCAACGCAATGATATGTTAACCGGTGGCGTGTACCAGTTGCGGCAAGGGCAGCAGCGGCGCGTGGCTGTACGCGTCAGGCCGGCTCAAAACTCGGGGACGCTGCCGATCATCTGCCAGCGTATTCTCAGCGTTGAAGTGGGATCAGTCAGTGTCAGGTAAGCTTAAGACTGAACACGCATTGCTGTAAAGTCGCGGAGAAACGCCTTTCAACCGTGAATTTTTGTACAGTTTCATTCTACTGTTACCAACCGCGGTGCACAAATTAATTTCTGGCGCTTTATGCTATAACCTGCCTGTGATCTTTTACCTAGTCAATATAATATCAGAGACTTTTCCTATAACCATTATTAGTTTTCAGAACATAAGTTTGTATCTAATGTAATGTACTTATGCAATTACCTTTGACATACACTCATTTTACATGTTTGTTTTATTCATTTCTTGTTGTATCGCTTTTGAAATATTAAGAAATGTTTATTTTTAGCTTTATAACAGGATAATTAACGACGTTATGTGATATTTAAAAAAATGTTAATTAAAAAAAACATTGCTTATGATGTCACCGTGAAGATGTTTGCAGTGTATAATTATAGTGGGTTTTTTGTGTGGTGATGGTAGGGTTGATGATAAAGTATAAATCAGCAAACAGAGATCCTAGGAAATATAAGTACTGGAATTTCAGTTAAGAATTAGATTTCATTGCATTTAACTTTAAATAACAAATAAGTATTTTTTTATTTCTTCAGATCACGATTGCAAAAGCCTTTGGATTCATACCAAGAAGAAGATTTAGCCGTATTACGGGAGAGATGGAGTGACGCGTTGGCCAAGAGACGCCAACATTTACATGCACAATTACAGGTATTTTACATTTTCTAAAGGATGTACTTGTTACAATTAAAGAGGCTGTAATTTAAATTCATAAAAAAACGTACAAAGTTGTGTCTAAATTTCAAATTAAGATAAAATCTTATGTCTATCATATCGTTTAAATTTACTACATCTTTCCGTTGGATTTTTTGCAATCGTTTATAAGCAAGTAACAAAGTTATTTAAATGCTTTTCATTAATTTTTCATTGGTCAATAAAAATGAATAAACATTAATGGGCAAATGTAAAAATGGAATTGAGTAATAAGGCGTTAGAAAGGTGACGGCTTGTGACGTCACACCATGATAGCGTCATACAATCTAACCGTTTATTTTTGTTTGACTAAAAAGGAAGGGATCATCTCCACCACAGAATTTTATTAATATCTCTAGTGTTAGTAGACATATTTAAAAACGATTTTAAAATTCATATTCAACACGTTAATGTGAGCCAATTAAAAAAGTATATTAATCTTCAACAAAAAATTAACAACTTACATGCTCTTGTTTTAGAAATTGGTAAACATGTCACCATCAATGAAGAGTGAACGCGACATGGAGCGGGAACAATCACTAGTAGAACAATGGGTATCACTCACTGAGGAACGCAACGCTGTACTCGTACCGAGTCCGGGAAGTCCTATCCCTGGAGCGCCCGCAGCGTGGAACCCGCCACCGGGCATGGAGCAGCACATTCCTGTCTTGTTCTTAGACCTTAATGGTTAGTATATAAGACTAATAGTTCAATAGTATTATCAAATAAAATAAGAAAATGATCAATTTAAGTCGACCCGAGCTGTTCTCTATCTGATGCATTTCAAAGATTGTGCGCCTGAGCTTTTAAATTTCGTTCCATTTTCACTGTTCTGCCTTCAGAATGCTGTCAGACCAGACAAAACTAAGATTAGGTGCGGTTTAGTATCCAAACACAGGACTGATACTCCCGTGTGCCATAACTCAAAAAAATTTTTATTCAAATATTCGTAACATCAGCTCAAAATACTATTTATGTAGCTTTGCCGCTGCTTTTCAAATATGCAGCTGTAACTTCAGACTTCAGGCTGTAACTTTTGTTAACTATTACCATGTACCAATAAGTCAAGAGAACTGACTGCTGATCTCCTCACCACAGATCGTAACTCTGAAAAACGGTAGAATTCTGTCATACACCGAGATGGCGCTGCGACAATAGAAGTAGTTTATATTATGTAAATGGCCACAGATATCAATTAATTCCTCTTTAATATGTAATAATACAAGAAATCAGTTTTTTTCTTGTAATATTATTCAAATATTGTGTGTTACAAACTAATTTATAAATTAACGCTTCCTAATACGGGTAGATGGAGCTAATCCTAAATAAAATAAGAAAATAGCCGGCACTATCCATAATAATTTTTGCAATAAGCGCCATCTAGTTGATTTGGTTGTTATCACTAGAAATTAGAGTAGTTTTGATGAATTGCTGCCTGTCAATGTACAACAAATTAGTTACAACAATAGCTATTTGGTATTCGTCGCGACCTCTGGTGTACCAATAGGTGTACTAAATATCCGACTACGCTGTCTTGTATTGCGGTTAGCAGTCATCTTAAGCCATTGGTCCATGGTAATACCAAAGTAACAACCATAACTGGGAGCGATCGCATTAGAAATCACCTGGTTAAAATTTGAAGTACGAGTGAGAAATACTGTATAGGGCTATTCAAAGTTAGCGTGAACAGGCATTTTAAAGATATGCGTACCATTGGTTACACCATCGCTTTACATCATGCGAGATTGCAGGATTGTTTATTATGTAAAAATAACGTATCTAGATCTCTATCTAGATACGTTATTTTTTTATACTAGTCTCAGTACTAGTTTTATAGTAGTATAGAAAAATAAATCCATATATATATATATATATATATATATATATATATAAAACTTCAGTTGAGCCGGTATTCTGCAGCAAGCTTAGAATTATGTACCTGAATACGAATACAGATACAAATTAAAAAACTTTTAAATATGACTAATAAAGAGTAGAACTACTGAGTCGCATAATTCTGTTTAAATTTATATTGACTGTGTATCAGAGGTAACCAAATTACATTTGAAATGGTGAAATTGATAAAACACTATTACTAATTAGTATAGTAAATTGCCCTGAAAAGAATGAGTAAAAAGCTTTATGAGATTCTCTTCGATATTGTTCACATTTATATTTATTTCAAAATACATTGGTACGACCTGCCCCCGTACCATGGATGCGCACGATAGTCGCGACACGCGCGATAAAATTAAAATAAGTGCGCGCTATTGGCTGCCTTAATCAGATCTAATTTAGATAGCCAATAGCACGCGCTTATTTCAATTTTATCGCGCGCGTCGCGACTATCATACGTAGCCCTGCTACGGGGGCTGAAGTAGCTAAACGTATCACTCCACGTATTTATTATCCAAGTATGTAAAAGCTGTGTAATAATAATAACCTTCTGTATAAAGTTTTTATTTCACCATAATTTTAAATGGCAAACTTTGTTGTTATTATCACGCTTCTGAACATGCCCCTTAAAAGAATTTGTGGATTTTTGAAGACGACTGGCAAGAATAACCAGTTTATTGTATATTGTTATTAGTGTTATGTCTTTCACTATTTCCATGACAAAAATTGCTACTTTTCTTAATCGAATTACATTTTCATAACTGTTAAAAAAGTCTGTGTATAAAAAAATATTTAAAAGTATTGTATGACTTTACTAATGGAACTGCTCAAAATTTTTATTACAACTTTTCTAGCGGACGACCTAACAACGCATCCTTCAGGCGAGGAAGTAACCGAAGCAGGTCTTAACTCCATCCTGCCTAAGGAACACGGCAATAAGTTCTACGAGCTGCAGATCCTGCACCATCACGACAAAGATGTTTCGGCTATTGCGTCTTGGGACTCATCTATACATGACTCGCAGTACCTTAATCGTGCCACTGAAGGTAATTTATTTATTATCAACTGTACCACAGATTACTTAATAGTTACTACGTAACAGATACATCGCTTTCATACAAATTCGAAAATACCTACGCTATAATAGCCTACTAAATCTGACTATTGAAACCAGGCGCTCACTACGAGAAAAAAGGAACCTAAGCTCGCGCTCAAAGAGGTGAAAATAAAACATGAGCAGTCATGCAGAACCGAATGCTGGGGTTGTACAAGGATTGTAATGTAAATGAAAGACTTGTCTGAGCGCTTGCATTGTCGGCGATACACTCAACTGTACTTATCGCGTAACCGCGAGCGAGTGACCGAGCCCTGACTGTACATGGCATAGTTTCAATGCCACTAATACTTTTTTTCATGATACCAATTAACGACGAATAAGTCGTGCAAATTACAGTGCCGCTCAGAGCTTTGAATCGCAAAGATCTGATGGGCATTGCCATTTCGCCTGTCACCCTGAGACATAAGTTGCAAAGTCAAATGTGCTTGTAATATGACCAGGTCCCTTACCCCTCAAAAGCAAAACGCAGTAATGCTGACATTAATCGGTATGGTGACAGTACTTCCCTGGCACGAACTTCTTTACAAGGAGCTCTACTGCCTTTGAAAACAAAGGAAAGTCACGCAGTGCAAAAGTGCATCTATAAAAGAACCGCCTTTTGGCTGTAGACATATTTATTGCAACAACTGGCCTACCTCATATTTTAAAATGCACAAGATTGCACAAGAACTCACAAAAGTTTTTGATATTGGGCCTTATCCAAATAAGTTGTACAAAAATACTTGTTAAATAATCAGACAATAAGTAGTAAAACGTAAACCTACTTTGTGCTTAAGATTCCGACTTTGTTAAAATAGTCTTTAGCACAGAACAATAATACAGTAGAAGTGGTTAGTTAGCGTTGACGCATGCCAACCATAGGTCTCTAAAGACCTATCTGAGCTTAGTTCGCCATTTGCGCTTTGTATGGTATGGTTGTGTCATTCTTTCGTGCAAATTATCTAAAATCCCAGAAAAATGCCTTATTGTGTTGTTTTGGAGGGCAAAAATAATAGCCGCACCAAAAACATTGACCTTGGTGGTATTTCACATCATCGGAAAGGCTTATTTTAATAAATTTTCAATTTTTTTGTTACAAGAAACGAATGTAAAGCTTCTACCTCTGCAATATGGTGGCTTCTTGTTTGGAGAACTAAATTAGTAACTCCAATTCGTCGTTGTTCAGCAATAAACCGTTAGATGGCAACACATCGATTGAAATTTCAATGTAATATCAAAACGTCGTAACTTGTAATAATAGGTATTGGTGGTATTGAACTTTCAACAATATGCCAACAGGGTAAAGTTTAAATTATGTTAACATTCCAGAATTTGTTTTTTTTTTTAAATTTCAAACTACAACTAATCAATCAAGATTTTGTAGTGTTTCAAATTAAGAATGTGTGAGTTTTGGCGAAATCGATTCTGAGAGTAATCGAGGTTTATGTCCTTTCCATTGTTTTTTTCTTCCGTGGTCTTCAGTCAATTAGATTTCTCCCGTATTTGGTTTGTGTATGACATGTGCCTGGTCTTGTTTGGATGATTACACAATGACCTCGTTTTGTTTTAGCCAATGAACGCGTGTACCTGATTCTAAAGACAACAGTGAGATTATCGCACCCAGCACCCATGGATCTCATTCTTAGGAAACGACTGGGGTTAAATATTTACAAACGACAGAGCTTCACTGACAGGATACGGAAGAAAATCGTTAGGTGAGTTACCATTTTATAATGCAATACAATAAAGACAACACAAATTTTATTTTATTTTTAATTCTATTGCTATTTACATGAAGTTCTCATGGTGAAGGGTAGATGGCGCAACTGTCAGAACTAGCATTTGCATCTAGAATATTTAATAATAATAATACGTGCCAGAAAATCACATCGATTGCTTGGTCTCGAACTTGGAAATTCCCTATACTATGGGTGCCAGAGCTACGGAATTATGGGTCACTTCCCAGAACTCCCAGATCAGAGCCAATTTCGAAAAGTTCACTTCCCAAATTGGTCCTACTGGGAATCGAACCTGGGACTTCCGCAACCAGGGTCCACAATGTAAACCGTTAGGCCCAGGTTGGCAAACAATGGCACAAACTTTCTTTAGTCTACATATTCCGTTAATTAATTTATCTGGTTCTAGTTAATAACATTTACAATTAAACGATTTTTTTTTCAACAACTCGCTGTTATATAATAACAATATACTTAACAATGTTTTTTTTTCTTTTGTAGCTACGGGTACGTAGTTTGTATTTTAACATTGTTTGTTTTTGTTTATCCATTGTATTCAAAAGTTACTGAGCTATTAACATTGTCGATTTATTAACCTTATTGTGTCAAATCATTGCACGATTTTAACAAAAAATATTTGTGTTATTAACAGACATCCATCGTGGGGCTATGACTGGTAGGTTATAATGTACTTTTTTATGTGCTAAGTGTTGCTTTGAATGTATTTACTCGTGATAACGTCCACTATATAAGAAACAATGTCATAATACAAAGTTGAAGATGACGTGTTAGGTAAAGATACGGAAAGACGATATGGTTCTAGATTCCACAAAAATTTGGTTCAAAGTGTAATCGTTTATTTGAAAAAAAGCAACCCCTAGAGTTTCTTGTTCGTTCTTCACCGGAAAGTCAAAGTGAATGAGTAGTAGCTTCAAAAAAAAATTTCTTTTTCAAGTGTAAATTTATTTTACTTATTGAATAAAATAAATAATAAATTTATTTTACCACATCATTTAGCGTGGTTATGCTGACTTTTGAGATTTGAAGTTTCTAGGAATGTAGTGACTTAAATCGAAAGAAAGAAAAATCGATTTAAATATTTATCGAGATAATTTGTAACGAAGAGAGACTCGATTTATCGACAAATAATAAACAAAATAAGAAGGATTCGATTGGTACTTGGTACTTGGTACTTGGTGCAACGGGCTGGTATCCGCAACTCGACGACAAAGCGCCTATTTTGCGTGTGGTAAAAGGATTCGATTACTATGTTGTTAAGTTATTAAAAAAGCTACATAACAAATTAAAAATATCAACAATGACCAAACAAAAGTCAACAACAAAGCATAAAATCAATAGCAATGAAACGAAATTTGAATAATTACTTCAAAATTGTTATGAAAAACTCAAAACAAAAGATATCGACCCGCATACAAAGTGTATGCACTCGTATTGAAGCGAGATGCGTAGTCGATTCGATTTATCGATTCTATAGTGTTCAATCTCTATGGAAAAATATTTCGTTTTACGCATCAAGTAGTAGGGGGTAATTTATTTTTATCTTCATCATTTCTGTTTCTATCTACGTATATTGTAAATTTTTACTTAAAATTACAACTCCAGCAACTATTGTCTGTTTTTGGTATATTATAACAAATTTACTATTTATTTTTGTAAGTTGGTTGAGAGATTAGTCAAAAATAGTATGCATGTAACGTAAATGTTTAAACTATCACAAAACCCATTCTATGTGAAATGGACTATAGTAGAATAGCGATACAATGTATACAGCGAATACACGTCGGAAAAGTCAACCAAAATAGGCATGTCGATAAAAAAAGGCCTGTGAAAAGACTAATATGAGTGAAGGTAGCGAAAGAGCCTAACGGGTGAAAGTTCATAGTCTCCGCCCTCCCCAATAGGATACAGGCGTGATAGTTTATATGCAGTTTTTTTTCTGATTGACGATAATTCGTTACACTTTTTATATTTTGCATTAAATTTCATTGCTTGTCCATGTTATGTCGCTTAAATAAGATCACCAATAACCCGTTGTACAGGACCGACCAGTTAACACAGACAGGTGTGACTTACGAAGTGGTGTCGAACATTCCGAAGGCATCAGAGGAGCTCGAAGAGAGGGAGAGTTTGGCACAAATCGCCGCGACTGGCGAAGAAGCTAGCGCTGCAGACGGAGAAACTTATATCGGTTAGTGGCTTTATCGTTTGTGTCCACGCTTTCGCTGTAACTTCGTACAGGATGACCTTTTTATTTAGATATTTTTATCATGGTAGTTTAGGTTGTGATACTACTTTTCAAAACGAACAATTTACTACGGACACCCTTCGAAACGAGAAGAAAGTTCCATACTAGATGTTCGTGCTTACTCAACCGAGATGTCAGGGACATCTGATTTTTCGTGATTTAAGGACTAAATAGTATAAGTGAAATAAATGTTATTATACTAGGTGGATTAACCACATTCTATAATTGCATGAAATAATAATTTTGGCTATGTAATATGTGGAATAGGGGATTGTATGTGAAAGGCGAGTTAGCGATTGCAACAAACAGACAAACAAATCTGATGTAAAGGGAGACATTGGTGCTCTTGTACAGAAAAAGAAAAGTTAGAAAATTTAGGATGATATCGTGGTAAAAAACAACGACTGGTGTATGGAAGTGCAACAATTGTTTTTGCCTTGTACCAAAATGATAGGCAATTAAATATTTGTATATGTTTTTCCAATTGCAGAGAAATACACCCGTGGCGTAAGCGCAGTCGAAAGCATACTGACTCTCGATCGGTTACGGCAAAGCGTTGCAGTCAAAGAGCTGGAGCAGGCGCACGGTCAACCAATCACAGCTCATATGCGCAAGACCGCCTCTGTGCCTAACTTCAGTCAGGTGAGTTTTCTCGTTGGGATCGTTTTGTTTTCTTCATTTGGAGATTTGAATTATTTAGGGAGCGTTCGTTTCGTTTCAATTATTACACCAGCTAATAGTTTGCATGTAATGCAACTTCAAACATTTTAAATATCGAATGGATCGATTCTTTCTTTCAATTGTTTAAGAATTGAAAATGTTACCATACATTTTCAATAACTAACTAACAATTACGTAAATTAAAATTTACGTAACCATTTCAATTTTTCATGTCCTAAAAATCTGAATTAGGTCTGCATTTAGAAAGACACTTATAACAATATTGTCCCGTACTTAATGGACGTAACTCGTGATTTTGACCAAATTGAGCTATTTGTTATATCACAACAACTCTTTGTCAAAATTATGCGTTACGTGAAGATGCTTTTAAGACCGATTAAACTGAACCGAACGCTTTCTTTAATTACTTTATAAATTACACACAAACACTGAATAATATCAAAAGATTATTAGATTTGCAAACATAGCAGTAGAAATACACAATACACATAAAAATATAGAAGCACAAAACACAAACATATAGAGATCATATCAAAATAGGAAACACGTATTTTTCATTCGGCAAATTAATATAGAACTGTTATTTGTAATATAAAATGGAAGATTTAAAAATGTTTTCGATATTATTCACGAACACTAAGTCTTAAGATTTAGTCTGTTACTCTGTGTCTTAAGCTAGCTTGAGCTAACAAATAAATAACAATAGCTAACACTTATTAAATGCTTAATGTAACGCTGGTCAATGTCGTCACTAACACTTTAATTAATATACGTAGCTACACTAATCAGTAATCATATTGTAAAAATACAAAATACGCCACTAAAATTTTATTAAATAACATTTTTTATTTGCTATTCAGTGTTAAAATAATCAATAATATGTACTGTTAAATAGAATTTGAAGTTTATACAGTTGTGTTTATACACATATACAGTGTGGAAATTTGTAATGCCACTTGGAAGGGAAGTACGTTAAATACTGGAGATAGAAATTTTTACTTAAAGGAAACATTCCTTTTTTTTTAAAAAGAAATAATACTGCATTCAAAGATTTTCGAAAATTGCTAGTCACTCGCGGGAATCGAACCCGCTAAAATCTTTAAAAAAATGCACCCTGTACTTTTATTAAATCAATCGATAGGGTCAATTATGAGGATGAAATCTCTCTTACAAGCCATGAAATCTGGAGTTATAAATTCAAGGGGTCAAGTTAAAGCACTTTTACTCAAAGGTCCATCAGATTACTTGTTAATTATCGTTGACGTCATTTATCCATTAAAATGACGAAGTACTATTTATATAAGAACATTGCAATTTGCACATGTTTGTAATGCAGACTCTTTGGTCAGTGGCATGAGGTAATTTAAATATGGAATGTTTCATTTGAAAATGGATTGTCTTTTGTTATTTCCATTTGATTGTTTTTACCTTAGAATAATAACGCATAGAAACCTAGTCCGCACACGCTAAGTGAGGCAAATTGAAGCGCGCCAAAAGGGCCTACACGAGCGGGCGGGCCTTCAGTGCTCAAGGTCAACTTGCACCGCGAACAGATCAAGAATTTTAGCTAAAAATGACGAAATGTGCGGTAAATGAGTATAAAAATACGTCAGACGAACATAAAATAGATACTAACATCACATTCCACAAGGAAGTAACGCGTTTCAAATTGTATTTTTATATAAATATTCACTAAAACCGAAAATTAACCTACTACTAAAACTAACCTACATGAATTTGATTTTTGCCTCACTTGTGACAGTTCGTTTGATATAAAACTATCATTCTATGCGTTATTATTCTAAGGTGTTTACATATCCTTTCTAAGTACTGACAGTTTTCCTATAAATAAATAAATTTCATATTTGTCTTATCGTAAAAATGGCATATTAAGAACAATTTGATTTAATTCAAGCTTATTTTTTAAATAACAAAAATGTGAATTTAGCTCTGCGGTGGTATGAAGAGAGATATCGGGATCGACAAGCACCAACTCGATTCGTTCTGAAAAGAATGGTAAATAATTTAAAAAATACGGGTAGCTACGAAAAGCGACGGCAAACTCCTCAACAGAACTATTCCGAATTCGATCTTAATGTTTTAACATACTTCGAAGCATTTCCAAAGGCTTCAAGCAGAGATGCTGCAGAATATATTGGAACGAACCACACTCGCGTACTCCAAGTGCTTAAAAAGTATAAGTATAAATGTTATCGTGACGGCCGGTTGGTGCACAACTTGCATCCTGGGGATTGTGAAAGACGACTTCAATGTTGTCAAAACATGCTAAGAGAAGTTGGCCGTAACCCGAATTTTTTGAGTAACATTGTATGATATGGCGAAACCAACTTCAGTAATAACGGCATGTACAACCGCCGCAATAACCATTATTGGTCTCGAGTATATCCTGTTCGTGTTCATGAAACTAACAATCAAGTAAGATTCTCTTTCAACGTTTGGTGCAGAATTATGAGAAATATGGTTGTTTGATTCCCACGTGTTGCTATAAATTTTCGAAAATCTATGAATGCAGTTTTATTTCTTTTAAAAAATAAAAGAATATTTCTTTTAAGTAAAAATTTCTACCTCCAGTATTTAGAGTACTTTCCCTCCAAGTGGCATTACAAGTTTCCACCCTGTATAGTAAAAACTATATAATAGTTTACATACTATTATATAGTTTTTAATCTTATTGATGTATGAGCGTAATTAAATATATCGCACATGCAACAAACATATTATTATCTCAAAAATCGACTTATATTCTATCTCAAAAAACTGTGTTAAATAATATTATGTCATTCGTATACGATTTGATTTTAAGGTGACAGTGTTGTCCTGCCACTTGGAAATTAAATCCTATACGAATGACATACATTATAGCGCATTTTTTGCGATATCGCGCAATTCTTCAGATAATACTGTGTTTGATGTCATGTGTGATATCTTCTTAATTACATAATTCTGGGGGCAGCATTGTTGAGTCGATGGGGCCTACTATCAAAAAGGAGTGAAATGAATTTTGCTCATTGTTTACTCTTACCAATTGATGTTAGAAGTTAATTTATAATCTGATCTTAAAAGTTGCGTGTGCTGTCGCGTCATATGTGATACTGCTAAAGATGCACTGAATAGCAAATCTCCTAAATGTCGCAATAGCCGTGTCGTACGCTTGCTAACGTGTGTATTGTCGCTGGCACCTGCAGCTCTCCCAGGCCCTCGAGATCGCCGCCAAGAACGGAACCAACGTGAGTCTCAACGCATGGCCTGACTGTCACGTCACCTTCTCAATTTTGTCGCATTACTTTATTGTATTTGGTTATAGCTTATTTGTACATATTGATATGTTCTGGATGTAGCTGTCAGGTGAATAAATTGAAATTCTGTTATACGTTCTGTTAAAACCTGTTTTTTTCGAACAGAATATCTTTGCTCCGCGTAGAATCTATCGGCCATATTGAAATTGTCACACATGATCATTGGATTGGTGGGTGGGATGACACAGACCTTTAGTGCAAGTAGAAAATACGTGATAAGCAAATAACTATTTATTAGATATTGTTTGTATATTAAAGTGTGAGGTTATAAGCACCGGAGATTTTTACTGGGAGTAATAACGTGACGAACTTAGGAATATTGGAAGGAAAATAAATTCGAGAACGATTCAAAATTTAAAAGTAAGTGGCCAGGAACCAGTAAAGAGTATGATAAAAAGGGTGGGATGATGATGAAAGAGGTCAGCATCGTCACAAGGTCATCTATTTGCAGACGGCCCAACTTATTTAAGTACTTATTTAATTTGGATATGTTAGTCAACTGTGACCATGGGACCTGTAAAGGGTACCCGAAATGTCGTTTTTTTTGAAAAAAAAAAACAAATATACGCGATTTAAAAAGTAAAAAAAAAAATTTTTTTATCAAGAATAAGTGCGCATTTGACCTCCATCTCACCTGATGGAAAGCGATGATGAGGTCGACGATGTAGCATGCACACCTAAGTAACGCCTTTTCACTCTCGCCTTGAAAAGGTCCAAGCTTCATTTCCTATGTGTAACAATCGCGAAAACCTAAGAACTCGATACATCAAATTATCAAAAACTTTTCAAAGAAAACGTAATGGTGATATTAGTGGATTTATTCTTGTACAAGTAGACAAGACAAAGTCAAGTAGATATATTCGGTTAAACAGCAAACGAGTACACACCCTTTCTGCACTTTGTCAGTCGGCATCCGTCAAGCGGCCAGCCATTTAAAGCTGGTGAACGTCATTAAAGTAAATAGATTATTCAAATCATTTGACAGTACAGCCTGAACAAAATTCAACAATAATTGGTGACTAGTGATCGAGAAAAACCCTTTGTATATTTTTAGTTCTATTTTCAGCCTGTGATGGTTGTATAGTTTTAGCCTTATTTCGGTGTAGTTTAAGTTCTTATGTAAGCTTTCATTGGACTTCGATTTTTGCTGTTAATTTTTTTTTATTTTTATTAGTAGTGTACTGTTTAAATTTTAGCGGTACAAGTGATGGATATCACACACAAAACTGGAGTTGGTTGCACCAGAATTTATATGGTTACCCACTAGTGGCGAAGAGTGTATATGACATATTGTCGAAGGTTTATCTAAGAAATTTCTTTTTTAAGTTAGTAGGAATGGTAGGTATTGATTTGTAGAATTTGTTATGTACCGTCCGTGTCGGTTTACCTTCTGTAAACGTTCACCCTTCGCCACTTTTGTTATTACCTAACACTATCGATCACATATATGCAGACTCAAGTTGATATTTTCGCGAATATGTATAATATTTTTAATAGGTATTAAATTACACGTGACTTTGTTTTCTAATGACACGTATAAAGAGGTAATTTCAAAAAAATTCTGAGTATTATTATTTTTTTATTTATATAAATTGCATTAACACATTGCCTATTCATGAATTGCCGGATATATTATAAAATAATCTCAGTACAGTGTACTAAAAACCTGACCTCAAAAGTTCTTGGAATTACATCTGTTTGCCAAGTTTTATTGAAATCGGTTACCGGCAAGTGCCAGAAACCAGATTGATCACCTAGTTTGCCACCCTTGGAAGTAGAATATTTTTTTCAAATTTAAATGGGACCAATACTGAAATTCCCTCTATCCAAAATGAGAAAGAATCATCAAAATCCGTTCACAAATGGCGGAGTTATCGCGTAAGTAATATACATACAAAAAAAATTGAGAACCTCCACCGTTTTTTGAAGTCTGTTAACTAAACAGATGATTGTTTTTAAATCTTAATATAATATTATATTAATGAATTTCTGATCGAAAACTTTTAATCTTAAGGTATCGTTGAAAACAGCCTACTCTCACTTTTCCTTCTATTTTAGAGGGTTCATGATGTGATTCTTTTAGTATATAACATCTTGTACTCCATTATGGAATGTAAATAAAGAATATTGAATATTGAAGATATATAAAAATTTCATTCTTCCGTATTCTAATGTAAAACATTACAAAAGTATCAGCTTGAGTCGACTGTTCCCATATTGATTAACTATGTCCGATAATCTTCATTAACTTACAGCTAATGCGTCTGGACTCATCGTTCGAGTCTCTCGCGGGGTTAGCAGCCGTGCGCTCAGGCAGCGTGGCGGACTTGGTAGACGAGACGCCCCGCCGCTCGGTGCATCGACACTCGTACGCTGCGCCCGCGCATAACGATCCCGACATGCCTACACCGACCAAGCCATTTGGATTAGGTAAGAATGAATTTAAGATGTTATATTTTAATAAAGTGCAAATATTCTTTATTGCAGGATAGTTTTGTTTTTGACTACTTAATAGAGATTGTTAATCGCAATAGATTGTGCCGAGTTTGAATGAATCTTCATTATCTATTTGGGTAGTTTATAATCTGCAGACGCGATTGCAGTTTCTGTTTAGTATTCATTTTAAGAATTGACATTTTCCTAGTAACATGATTTTAATAAGTTTTTTACAGCATAAAACAAGACATGAACTTCTAAAACATACCAAAATCTACTTCCAAAACATTTTCTTTTCAATTTCTGTAACTCGTACAATTTCGTGTCATGCGGGAAAGATTCTATAGCAGATTAGTATGCACTTAGCGTCATGTCATAATGCAAGTACAACTTCAAAATACAAGCTTCATAACCTTGTAACAATTTTAAAATAAACGTAGTGCATTGCGTAGAGTAAGGATTAAAATTACTATAGCATATTGTAAAGACACTATTGCACGGATTTATACAATTTAGTTTAGAATTTTGGACAGTAAAAATGAACTAAAAGACAATTTAGAATATGACCAAGTTGAGGGAATCCGTACCATAACGAAATCCACCCACTCTATTAACTTTCAAAACAACATCACCACTTCATTTCTTCACTATTTTACATTATTTTCAACTGGCTTGGTGGCAACGCTATCGCAATCTCTCTTTTGTACCTCATTATTTCAATTACCATGATATTCTTTCTTCCTTACTCTTCAGAGATTCTATAAATACATATATAGAGCAAAATTTTTCAAAATGTGTATACATTGAGATTAGACATGCATGGTAAATATTTACTGTGAATCACACTCTTTTTTTGTATTAAAATGTAGTTTTTAAGAATATGTGTGTTAGGGCCTTAAAATTTTACCCCAGCTTAAACTAACATTATTTTCTCTATCTTGACTCCCCGCAACCAGGCTCATTTTTATCAGGTAAACAGTGAGAAATCACTATGGATGACTACTGTATGACAAAATTTAGACGAATGTTGAATGCGAAACAAAAAAGAAATAGATGTGACGTGATCATTGTTACACAAAATTTTATTTTTGAATGTTACCCGTTATTTGATTGGCTGTTAAAATTCAGAATATAAGACTTCCCAATTGGCATTAGCTGATTAAAAAAGAGAAGCTAAATATTCTAAATTAGACCCTATGTATTGGCTAATAGACCGCTATCTGCAAGCTTCCAGCAACAGGCCTCTGTCGTTGTGTTCTCTATATGTTTGTTTGCGTGTCTCTTTCATTTGCATGCCCAAGCATGAGTGTTTTATTTTCCTTCTCCCTTCCTCTTCAGTCTGTCTAATATGGGATTAAAAAACGAAGAGCTTGATATAGGTTCTGGTTATGAAACGACATTGCTTGACGAGCATTGAAAAAGAAAAACAAGCAGCCAAAATATCTACTAGATTTTTGAATATTGTCATGATGGATGCGATGTTTCTAGGCTAAAACTTTAATAACAAGTAATTGTAGAATACATGTAGTAATAGATAATTAAAATAGGTTCATTTTGTGTGTGTGTGCGTGTTAGGTACAGTGCATGTGTAACGTAGCATCGGTATTGCAAGGAAGATATTGTCGATAGAGAATTGGGTTGAACGCATGGTATAGATTTAAACGTTTGTAGGTTTTTGTGTCATAAACGTAATTTGATATTAGTTGATGTAAATTAGGTTGCAGATTTTGTGATACGAATGTATATTGTATGCGTAGGATTTGGTACTTGTATTCTTGTTTTCAAGGGCCTCGAGTCCTGTTCTTGAGCTATAATTCCAAGTGTACATATTAGAAATATTTAGTAGTTTTTGACTAATAAAAAAATATTGATAATTATATAAGTGTATTATTACATAAAAAGTGTTAATTGCAACTTCAGTATTCCAGATATAGTGGGGTTCAAACTGAAGGGTGACCATGGTTTCTAAAACTTGAGAAACAAAACTGTTGTCAATTTTTTTAATAGCAAAAATTATATAATTCAAAACCGTTTGTTTCTGTTAGGTTTTTTAATTATTCATGGTTTTTATATGTCAGATTTATGAATTCCAGCATATTTGTGAAGAAGAAGAATAATAATAACTTAGATAATATAGTTTTAATATTTTATCAAATATGTAACTGTCAGGTCGATAAAACTCAAGAAGTGGACTTTATTGTCATAGATTTTATATGTTTGTAAATATTGACATAATCGAACGATTCTCATTGCAGCGCGGCCGACGTTCCTTAACTTGAATCTGAATCTCAACTCGCTACGACTGCAAACTCCGAGCAAGTGTACGTCCACACATGATATACAAATTAGTGTGGCTTGAATTTTCGTTTATTACATTTTTATTTTTGGTTAATTGGAGTTTTTTTTATGAGTTACATTTTGAATTAAAATGCTAATTTTACATTGACGCTAGTTTGTTCGCATGGAGTTTATTTTTATTAATAGGTAATAATAGTTTCAGTTCATTTTCAAATTTTGTTTACACCTAGTGATTTGTAAGTCTCTAGTTCAATCTTCTGAACTAGAGTGCGTTTACTTTTATGGTTTTTTTAGTTGTTACTGCCTAAATATCTTTTTAGTTATCTGCTATAAAACAGATAAACGTACTTGTAATTATTCCTTACGTAACTTTAAAATACATGAGTCGTTTACTTGTTTTTAAGTCTTGTATTTTTCTAAAGAGTTAAACATGGTCTTGTGTTGATATATTCATTCAATAAGAACACAACGCTTAAAATGCTCTCCCTTTCTAGCATCGCCAGCGAGTGGCAAGCTCGGTCTTCGCATGACGACGCTCCACGAGGAGCCGGGACGGCGTAACGATGATGATTCACATTCGGAGCCTGAGTCTACTGCTGCTGATGAGATGACGACGCCGCAGTCACATGTAAGTATAGTAGTCATGTGTCGTTATGGCTTTTTCAAATAACCTAACGAAACCGTTTTGCGTTTTTAGATAACGTTGAGAAAACTGTCTGTTTTTGACAACTATTTACTTCGATTACGGCGCAAGTGACGAAGCGTTTTATAACGTGACAAGCGCAGGGTTACAACTGATATCATAACATAACTAAAATAAGAAAGCTGTGGTTTGTTTCGTTGTCTTTTTTTGTTTAAAAACGCTGATATCTGGAACTCTTGTTGAATTTGAAAAAATATTTTTGCATTTGATAGCCCAAATCTTGTCTATATAACATCACGCTACAACCCAAAAGTTTTATAAATATTATACACAAAATTACAGGTTTATTTATTTACAATTAAACACTATGAAGTCTCATTTAAAATAAAACAATCCGCTATGATCAGTAAACAAATAATTAGTATGCCTATCACCACGCGCGATTACAAGCAAACTAGATAGTAATGAATTAGTTTTAAATATAAAAATAACAATCGCAAAAGAAATGGGATCCTGCATTTACACGTGTCAAGGTCAAAAGTTCAAAAATTTATATTTTCCAAAAGTTATTCATTCTAATAACGACTTTCATTCATAACTGAAAAGTCACATTATGCAACAACGAAACACATCATCCAACCTCGTACTTGTGCAAACGGGACGCGCGTCCTATCCTATATCTTACTCGCTCGTACGGTTGCGTTCCCTCTACGTCGCCAACCACAACGAGAACATCTATTGCGTGATTATATAGAGCGTTGCGAGATAACAACACTTTAAAATCACTACAAAACAAGCGATCCTTGTCAAAAACGCAGTGACAATCTTAACGGGGCGTTGTGAAAAATAGATAGTTTTGATGGGTTAGAAAACGAGTGATGGTTGTGAAGCCAAATAGATAGTTTTAAATCTACGCTAAATAACGCCTATCACTAAAGTATAGTGAAAAGTGAACCGAAAATCGATTTAAGACAATTTAAGAGAGATGTTTGGAGGATACCTTTCCTTAAAAAACCATAACAAAGTTCTGCAACAAAGTAGAAAAAAGTTCGTAAGGTCCGCTGGTTCGTTCCGTGGCTTAGTTGGCATAGCGTCTGGCACGGTTTGCTAGAAGACGTTGGTTCGAATCCAGTCGGATCGAAGGTATTTTTCTAAATGTTCGATCTTTGTATTTATAACTATGACAAACCAAAACCATATTGGTGAAACATCCTGGCATTTAATAAACTTACGAATACTTTTAAGTTTCAAATCGCGTCTGCTATTGCTACAATTATTGATTTACGTACTATATACGCTCACCAGTAAATTAAGCTTCAAAAAGTGAGAAAATAAAATAAAATAAATGTGAATTAGATGTTTAGTAGCAATTACCTTAACATCTTTATAATACAATATGTAACGTGTTAATAATAATATTTACATCAACTTCAATCACGCAACTTTACTAACTAACGCAACCTTATTGAAAAAAAAACCTGTGATCAAACAAAAATCTTTTTTTATTTAGATATTGTAACAAAGCTGAAACAGTTGATAATTTTAGAATGTAATATTGCTTACGAAATTTACAAGTACACAATATCAACCTGGAACCACTCTTGAAAAACATTGTATTAGGAAATTAAAGCAAATTAATGAAAAAAAAAATTATATTCGACAATTTTTTTTATTTTCAAATAAGACCTAAAATATGAAATAAAATAATCGACCAGATTTTTGAAAAAAACATTTTATCAATATATATTAATTTTATCAATATGTGTGTTATGAAATACATTTTTTTTGCTTTTTTAAGCAGCGTACCCGAACACGTGTGACGTCTCGAGGCTTCATCCCGGCCTCGAAGACGCTGGACTCTTTGCACGAGCTTGCGTGTGAACGCGTTCCGAACAAGAACTCGCCTTCCATATCTTCGAGTGGCTATGGTACGTAATGCAACTTCTGGCCCTAATTGGTTTACACTAAAATGTAACATTCGGAACCCAACACATGTATTGTATTCATTATTTACGTGAACTCAAATTTGTTTAATTCGTTTCAATACACTGGTTACAAAGGCATTACAAGAAGGCATTATTAACCGGCTACAAAAAAGGAGGAGTTCTCAATTCCCCTGTATTTTTTGTATGTATATTACGCGATAATGATACGGCATGTGTGTACCGATTTTGGTGATTCTTTTTTGGTTGGAAAGAGGGTACAGGGCCTAAAGCACGTCAAGCTTGACACTTAAGACTTAAATCCAACTCTATGCCGCTTACGATAAGAACGGTCGAAAGTACAAAGTGTCAAGCTTGATGTGCTCTTGGCCCTGTAGTAGTGGTCCCATTTAAATATTCCACCTGTAAGGGCGGCAAACTAGGGGATGAATCCGGCTTTGCGTACTTTCCGGTAACCGGTTTCAATAAAACTTGACAAATAGATGTAACCCCACGAACTGAGATTCGCCTTGCGACGTGCAAGTTTTCATAAATTTTGTGCTATCATTTGTAGTGAACAAATAATACCAGTGTACTCGTGCAGTCCAATCAAGAGTTGTAATATACACTGTGATTTCTTTCAGGTTCTCAAGCAGTATCATCAACCAATCTGACAAATGATGACACATTATCAATCAGAAGCATGTCAGTTGACGACACACCGGACTTTGACAAGACAATGGACTACACGCACCTCAGCCGGTCTAAGAATTTAGTGGGACTCCGGAATGAGATCACCGAACTCAAGAATGATATAACTGAATTAAAAAATGAGATTAACGAATCAAAGAATGAGCTGGAAGAAACATCGTTTGATAAAACAAAGACACCAGTTTTAACACCCGGGTCGAAAAGGATAAATCCATTCTTAAGAGACTGTGAAATGGCAACAGAGGCAGTAAAAGAACAGATATTAGATCCTCTTGGAGCAATCCCGGTTGAAAGTACTGTCCTCTCTAGTCAGAATAAAACCATTGAAGTTGTTCAAATTAATGGAGAAGGGCATGATAATTCCTTCCGTAAGTTTTTATAATCCATGATGTTATTTGCTATTATCGAGCAGGTTTACTAAATGGCTAATTTTATATTACAGCCGATGCAGATGTAGAATCAGTAAGCTCAGAACAATCCAGTCACGACGCAGAGAGAAGCCGCGATGCGTCATCGATCGGCGAGAGTGACTCGGCCTCTCCCGGACCCGACCACACGGTTGTCAAAACGCAATTGCCTGCTGGCAAAGTGAGTATTTTTTACAGAGGTTTTTCCCCAACGGATTACTTAATCAGATAGGAAAATATTTTTATTCATATTTTATTTTCATTTGATAACGTTATCACACTCAACTGTTTATCGTGAATGTTTCGAAGCGGTGTCTGATCACGTGATCCGTTGGGAATAATTTAAAAGTGTCAGCTATATCTGCTTCCGTGCCGAACGGTTACCATGCCAGACTGCCACGCAGAGGTCCCAGGTTCGATTCCCGGGCTGGGAGAAATATTTGTATGGCCTACATTTATTTCTCTCGTGAGGTTGGGTGTAATTTGTGGTTGTCTATGTGTGTGTTCGTGGCACCCGCGATACAGGGTTTCCCTAGTGCGGGGCCATGTTGAGTGTGTGCGTTATTATTATTATTATTATTATAGACCCGAGACGCGTCGCTACCTAAAGTACGTACTTATACCTTATCCAGCAGCGGGAACGGAAAGTTTCTCTGCATTAGAATTCGTTGTATAATGCCTTCGATGTTGCAATAAACATCACCTGATTGGTCAATACGACATGCATGCCGCGAATTCATAATATTGACTATGGCATCAAGATGACGAAGGTAAGATTTAAACGAAAATATTTCCTTTTATAAGGTGGTCCGAAGACGAGCTGGCGGTGGTGCGTCAGCCCGAGCAGCTGCGCGGGCGTCATTTCCCTCTGGCCGGTCGCGCGCCAATCTCGACTCTGGGCACAACACTAGCACTCGCGCGCTGCACAACTCGCCTGGTTCTTCTACCGAGCGGATCGTTGACGGTAAGAACAGGACAATTTCAATGATAGGTGTACCTTGTACATTTTTGAGCATGGAGTTCTTTATATCAATAAACCAATGTATGTATGAGTACATATGTATGCCTGTTAACGTTGCTGTGTTTTGTTTTCTACGATTTTATTTAGCTCCTGGATTGCTAGCTGGGAGTCGTGGCCTTGCGGTGGTTGACAATACACAGGCTATAATACTGTGTAACAGAAATACGCACACGGCTATAAGTTAACGTTTGGCATAGACTATTAGTTAGTGTGATATTTACATTTAACCCATGGTAAAGTATCGTACTTTATTACATGTCATTGTGTTTATTCTGTATGTTCTTTCTTTATTCTTATATTGCAATCTTCCGCAATAATGGCGATTTGCAATGAAATGAAAAGTGCAAATGTTTTTTATTTTATTTCGTGTCATGGCAGTCTGACACCATAAGTAGTTTGTAATACATATTTACAACCTTTCTAAATTATGTAAATCCAAAATGGGAAAATAGCACATTTATAGTAAATTTAATACTACCAAAGGTGTACAAGTGTGCATGTGTGGTGTGTTTATTTCGTGTCACGTCCCTATGACACCACGACAAGTAGTTTGTAGTCCTTGTATTATAGTGATGTGTGACTCATTGCTTCATCCTCTTCCTAGATGATTCAGGCGACAACGCGCGCGTGATTGTCGTTCCCGACTGGATGACGGTAGGCGAGAGTGTACAACAACGGTTAACGAACAGTACTGGCGTTGTTGCCTACATTGGACCTACACACTTCGCAGGGGGACCCTGGGTCGGAGTAGAACTTGACGCGCCTACTGGTAAGTGAATCTTTGTCATAATATTGACAACGGGAGGATATACTCTAGTCTGTTCCAATCAGTTGTACCAAACAAACATTGTTCAAATTTAATACTTTAATTTTCACCTATTCTGGATTTTTATGTATAAACACACACAATATGATTAGTCAGTGTGCTGTTTAACAAGTAACCGCATCGTTAGTTCCGAAAATGGCCGCAAGGAGGAATTTTTCGTTATCAATAGTAAATATCGTAATTAACAATAAATAAGTACCATGTATCACGTTTAGAGTGCCTACCTCCTTGCTTACCTCAATTTCGTTCTCGCTCACTGAAGTCGTCGTTGTCAAATGCCAGTGGCGAATCCTGAAGCCAAAGTACTCGTCTCGTATTTCCGACTTCAAAAAAGGAGGTTCTCAATTCGACTGTATGTTCTTTTTTTTTTCTTTTTTTTTGTATGTATGTTACGCGATAACTCCGGTATTTGTGACCCGATTTTCATGATTCTTTTTTTGTTGGAAAGGGGTTACTTCCATAGTGGTCCCATTTCATTTTGAAGAAAATCATCCACCTTTAAGGGTGGGTGTTCACGCATGAAGATTCTTTTTTATAAATAGCGCCTAACTTTAATTTAGGAGCAATTATTTTAATGGTTGATTTTGGTATTTCTCCAATTCAAGGCGTTTTACTCTCAATATACTTTGAGTAATGAGAACCGATTATTATTATCTCCATTGTCAAGTCCTGTATAGTGGTGAACTAGGGGATATTTCAAGAAAATTTAGCAAATAGACGTAATTCCACGTACTTTTGAGGTCGGTTTTTTTAGTACTCTGTACTGAGATTATTCTTATGGATACGACAACAGTCTAGTGATATGATTACTGTTACAGGCAAAAACGACGGGTCGGTAGGTGGCAAGCGGTACTTTGAGTGCAGGCCACGACACGGGATCTTCGTGCGACCTGACAAGTTAATACAGGATCGGCGCGGGCGCAGCGCAAGGGCCTTCCGTGAAAACGAGCTCAAGCGAGCTACTAGCAAGGGTACATATGTAGTTTCTTACGAAAATAGCGGCCATCGACGTAAACTGTTAGTTGGTAGCGTGTGTTTACACACTATTCAATGTTTTTGTAAACTTGGCAAACTAAAATAGTGTTTGTCGTTTTCGATTTTTGAAGTCGCTATTCATAGTTTCAGAATAATTAAGGATAGGTCTCTACTAGAGAAAAAGCCCGAGAGATTTCCAACTTCTACTTATAATTCTAACCACTGCTTTTGTGGGGTCATGGCTGAGGAAAACTGTCAATACGGCCTTAGCTGTCAGAGGTGCGCGGGGCGATTTTCAAGTACATCATGCAATTAACGACGGCATTACACTGGTTCCATGGCAGATGGCTCGGTGCCTTTTGTGGGACGCTACTTGTGTCAGAAGGTTTGCACCGTTCCACCTGAGTCACACCACCAGATCTGCCGGGTCGGCTGCAGAGTATGCGGCAAAATTTAAATATGCCAAGTAAAGTGCCTTGGAACCGAAGTACAATTTTGTACCAATTGCAGTGGAGACTGCGGGGACTTGGGGTGCGGAGAACAAGAATTCATCAGGAAGTTGGGTCGTCGGCTAAGAGATAGAGGCTGTGATCCACGCTCTGGGTCTTATTTATTATTCATCAAATTCCGTTGGCCATTCATCGCGGTAATGTTGCCAGTGTTATGGGGACGTTTGAACCAGCTAAGATTCAGAGCGGTCCTTTTTCATTGTAATAGTTTGATGGAAATGGCTAAGTCTGGCAAATTGCATTATTAATTTTTATATGACGAAGCCTTTTGCAGATTTATATTTGTATCTTCCTGACGAAGCCTACGTAGCGGATTGACATATGTTATTTAAAGTGTTTTTTAAAATGAATTGTATTGTAATAACAAATTTTTCGTTGACCGAATTGATTAATAAATTCTAATCACTATTTCTAGGTGAAGGCCTACACAACTTACACAGATCAAGGAGTCGCGGTGAAAGCATAAATGCAGTCGGAAAAACTAGGAGCAAATAAATCTTTAACGTTTCAAAACCGCAACGCGTACGTAACTCCCTTTACTGTACATGACCCGTCAACAGGATTAACTGTTCCCGCAGATGCGTATATAGCCAGCTGTGTATCGGACCGAATTTAATATAAACGTCCACAATCCTTGAATACTTTTATCAAAAACGTCAAACCAACAAAACAGTCAACATTTACAAACACACTTATGACTGGAGAAAAAAAAGCCGAATTGAGAGTGCATAAAAATTACTTTCGGTAAGAGACAAAAGAAACTATATCGAAACTTAACGATATGATCTTCCAAGGTCCGCAGAAAGACTATTGTTTTTATAATTCAACACCTTTTAATGTATCTGAGTTATGATTGGATCGTGCGCTGATGCATATGTTTAGTATCGCAAGTTTCGATATGATGAAAAAATAACATCTTTAAAACAATTTGACTTGTTGTTGGTTTGACGTTATAATTTCAAGTTTTTGTTGCACTCTTGTAACGCTGATGGTGCTTTGTATGTATCGTAGATGTTATTTCATTTATGTATCATTACCGTTCATTATCATTACCACGACGGTAAAGCAATAACGTTTTACTTCATTTGTTATCGCGCATTTTGTTAAAAGGAAACGGGACATTCTCGCATTTATTGACATGTTCAATATATGTCGTAGAATAGTCTAGAATGTTTCCTATTTTTAAAGCGTTGTTTGACTAGGAAATTTCGATTTTAATTTCATTGACGAAAATTTATAATGTAAATAAGTATATTTTCAAACATGTGATTTAATTTTATTGAGTTCGATGTAAATATGTGAATTTTGTGTGTGTTATTAATATTATATAATTATTAGTTTAATAATTTTAGAAATAATGGAATTTTTGTGATCGGTAATAAGGTTCAACAGATTATTTTATATACAATTTGTAGTGTATAGTTTGTCGCCTTAGACATTATTTATCTTATTTATCTACCTAACATTATGCTTAATATTATCTATTGGAAATATTCTTAGATACTTTTTCTTAAGATATAATGCAGCCCAAAACGTCAACTATATTGCTATATTTTTCAAATCAACACTAGATTGCTCACGCGCATTTTGCGTTAAAAATACACTGTTGTCGTATTTTATGTGATTGTTAACTTGCCTCACATTATTTTAACATCGTAACTTCTTTAATTCTATCGTCTAGTTGTACCCTTTTTATTAAAAAAAAACAAACAAAATATTCGAGTAGAATTTTACGAAATCGTCCAGTTACCACATCTTCGTCCTAACCAAGACTAAGTACTTAGTACTCTTGCCATTGTGACGGTTTAAAAACCTTCAATTGACTTTAATACGTGTATGGAATAAAAGAATCTACTGCGTTTAATACCGACTAACTCATTTTTGTCCCTACATGTCTCCAGCAGTAGGTTCAACTGTCATCCGACATCTTTTACTTAGGTTGTGTAGTCCATATTCAAAAAATGTATTTGTAAAGTGATCGTGTTAATTAATGCACGATGAATAAATTAAAATTGGCAAATAATTGTCCTCAATTTATTATCTCCATCCACATTCGAACAATAATCGATGAGAACTCTTATCTGTAAATGTTAGTGAACGCATCGTTGTTTGTCTTTAACGATAGGTGAGTGTGGTAGTTATTTTGAATATTGCCTAATTCGGGTAAAATATCAGTTAATAGCGTTGTAGCGCGTGTAATCTTCATAGAAAATGTCCATACATCACTCGCGGAGTGACATAGTCTAGCTCACCTAGTGTATATTCCATCCTTTAAGAATAATTGTTCATAAGTACACTACAATGAGTACATAATTAGATTAAAATGCCTCGTTATTTAATAGAGTAAGTTCACTCAGCAGTCATGTAGTCCGCCGCTTGCCTCCATTACATTGTTGTATATTTACATTTAATTCATAAGATACATGTTATAAATTATCAAAACAATATTCAGCTGTTTCTAAATTCGCAATCGAGAATTTAAACGCCAATTTTCTAATTCTTAAGCGTTGACTGACATCATATTGTCACATTTAACACTATTTAGACACAAATACATATAACGAATGCTTATTAGACTGTTGTACTTAATACATTCCATTTTTTCTATACATTTATCTTTACTAGCAGACATTCAGTAGGTAAATATTTCTCAGTGATTATAATTAGTTAGATTTTTATAGTCAAGTGTTAATTTTGCATTTTTCAATTTTTACCTTTAAATAAATGTAATGTTATAAAGCAATATTAAATTGGCCCTAACTACGAAAGCTCAATGTGTAGTCGACGTAAAAAATCTAAAAAAAGAGTATTTTGAAAAATATTGTAGGATTGTGTCTTTGTAACTCTTGATGTGCTTCTGTCCAGTAGGTTTATAGGACACGGGCATAGGATGCAAGGATGTTCATAGCGAGGAGCAAGGTTCAATTCGGCGTGGCGGTGTATGCACTAGGGCTCCTAGGTTTAGGGAAATAGTGACCTTGAATCAGCGTTGTAGGTCATAATTTAGTTTTGTAGTGAATAAGCTGACCATGTGCTGTGCTTTTGTTTTAAACAATAGATTTTAGGTAAATGAAATTATTTGTTTTATATTTTTATTTCATTTAGCAGATTTTGTATTTATTGCAGTCAATTCAACAAACGAGCTTTTATCGTGGAAATGTATTATTATTAAACAATTATTTTGACGACACCGTAGCTTGATCATTTTAGTGCAGAATATACTTTATTTTGCGAGTTCTTAAATTGTGTAAATTAAATAAATAGATCACAAATCAATTGTATTTCTAATATTTTTATGTGATAAGCGAATAGGCAGCTACTTGGTAGCATAGATGGTTGCATCTTCATTATGTACACATTATGCATAATTAATTATAGAAATTTTTAATATTTAATTAATTAATACAAAAATAGTTCACATCTAGTGGAAATATTTTTGCCAAGTAGCAAATTTGAGTCAACCATCGCTGTCATTGTCAATAAATGTATTATAAAGTATTTTATTTCGTTTTATTCAATTTTTATTAACTCTAGAACCTTAGTATATTTACTAGATTGCATGACGAATTAGTTCAGAAGACTATTAGCATTCTTTTATATCAATAGAAGTTGTACAATGAAGAATAAGCAACTAAAAGTACCTAGATTTGTTGTAAAAACTTTTGCTGTAGATGTACATCGGTAAACCAATAAAGTATTTATATTTACTCAGGGCTCCAAGTTACGTAAACCAAAGGTATTTGAAAATATTCGGTATTAACTTAGAAGAGATAGCGATTTTCAGAGACAACCTATTCGATATGACCATTAATGGAGTTTCAGACACGTAAAGGGGCTTTTTCACTAGTGAGACGAGACTGAAATTGAAATCTAACCGTGCTTTTTCGACCAAAAATAGCCTTTAATAGCTATCGCGGTCTCGCGATTGATATTAATATTTATAGTATAATATGACAAATAGAACACCTCCCGCCTATTCGACGCATAAATGGCTACACTTTAGTAAATAACATTTTTTAAATGCGTACATGTATTGATATTTTAATAACAGAATCGCGGATTGATATCTCGATTATGGTTTTGTGAAATAGAAATGCAATGCGGAACCATCCTGTACTTCTCTCACAAGAATAAACACATCTACTATTTGATGTCATTTTTTAAACACCGAGCAAGTGATTGCGCTGTGCAAGGCGCGCGGCGGGCGTTTACACATAAAGCACGCGCGACTCATCTTGTGAATAGTGTTTTCACACTATGTAGGCAACTATACAGTTAATAAATATTACACCAACAAATATTTCCATTGAAGACGCATTAGAAGAGAAAGGAATTTTTAGAAATAAATTTCACTCCTAGTCTCGTTTCGCCTCCCTGGTGGAAAAAGCCCCCTGACACCTGTTGCAGCGACATTTGACACCATGAGTATAATCATTGTGTTGGTTTATATATGTATGTAGAATCACTTATAGGATCCCACACGGTTGTCATGTCCCAAGGTCGGGCGGGCGTTAATACAACAGCGCAGCAGCTTTATAAACGATTTAGGATTTCGGATGAAATTGCGAATGTCCTTAAAAAAAGACCACGTTAAAATTAGTAAGAATAAGGCTCAATTTATATTGCTGCGGAAGGGTATGGAAGCGAATATATATAACGAACTTGTACATAGTATAATTAACTTTATGCCAATTGTGTAACGTACACACTAGATCGATAGCTGCGGGAATTCCCGAGACTGCGTGAGAATTCTCTTGACCTGGGGGTCTACTCTGATTTCGACTTTGTCAAATAAGTATTTCTCGACTACACGTCAAGTACGAAGCTTCTTTCGCATCATGCATCTTTTGATTTGGTTGAGTAGGTATTACTTATTTGACAGTAATTGTTTTGGACGGACGTCAGACGGGAGGAATGGAATAGACTCCCTGTTCTTTGGCTCGTGTGTAGTTTGTAAGTTACACAATGGACAAACTGTTATACTCAGATTACAGAAATTTGCTTCCAATTCGTTCCGCGGTAATGTAAATAGTGCCTAAACGGGCTTGTATTAACAAACTGATGCGAGTGAAGTTTCATGGTTTCTAACGACTTCATTTGGACTCCGGCGTAATGGTATGTATGCATTTTTTAATAACCCGGCAAACAATCAGTGGATCTATCTGATGAAAAATAGTTATCGTCGCGTTGGACGTGGAAGTTTCGGGTTCGGTTCCCGGTAGGACCAATATGGGAGGTGAACTTTTCTAAATGGGTCTGTTTTGGGTAGTGTCCTAGAGTGAATTCCGTTGCTCTGGTACTTATAGCAGGACTCCGTCACTCGCTCGAGGTTACCCGATTAGTGCCTACCGCTAAGTGTATCCTCGATTGCGCAAGCGTTCAGACAAGTCTTTCATTTACATTGCAATTCTTATACAATCCCAGCATTCGGTTCCGCACGACTGCATACTGAGCGCGTGGTTAGGTTCATTTTTCCTCGTATTGGGCGCCGTCATTAGTCACATTTGTAGGTTATTATAGCGCAGGGGTTTTTTTTTGTATGAGAGTTAGAAGTATCTGTTACGTCGTAACTATTAAGTAACCTATGCTTATAGTATAGGGACTTCCTTAGTTTGAAACAAGGTAATTCGTGTCCCTGTTTTGCACATTATTATTATTATATTAAGATAGTATCCGTAGGCTCAATTTAGATTGCAACGGAACGGAAACAGTAATTTCGCGTCGCTGCCCGAGAAGGCGCGCTGGGTCGTTGGAATCGATCTCGCTTGCGTGCGCCTTGTGGCTGTAGTATTTCGTCGATATTTGACGTCACACTGCACCTGCCTTCGCGTCACTTCCCGGATTCGCCAGGCGTCGCCGACTGCAGCTGCGGAATTTTTGCGAATGCACGAGCGTTCTCGAGCATGCGCGAGAATTCCGCGGAAGAGGCGCTGCGTGATTTTTAGCTCGTATCTAGTTTGTACTGTTTGTACGTTACACAGTTGACCATAAGTTCATTACTCTATGTACAATATCGTTGCAAACAACTCGCTTCCATTCCATCCAATATAAATTGGGCACAGTAGTGCTGTTTTACGGTAGGTGCAAGGTTGTACGGTGGTACTTACCATGGTTCTGCGCAGAAGCCTGTCCCCAGAAAAATAAACGTTTCTTTTAATACATAAGTTAAAGGTGGTTGTTGGAGTCCTTTTTGTCTAGCTTATGAATTAAACCACACAGCGAAATACAGGTGACCTTATTCGCGACGTCGCGAGTGTCATCTCGGCGACGACGCGACGCGACGGGTGGTGGTACCCTGCGGGGCGGAGACCTTCCTGGCTGGCACGCGTTTACCGTCTTACCGCTAGCCGTATGCTGCTAGATGGTAGTAGCGTCTGCAAGACAGGCAGAAAACTTTACAACGCGTAGGGTAATGGTGAAGCCGCGTTGGGATTTTCCAATATATCATCCATCGTCAACCTATTACACGTCACATAGTTAATCACGAGTCGCCTCCAAGGAAAAGGTCTGGGCTACAGTAAGTTGTCCTGGCCCAATAATAATTATTAATAAGCATTTATTTCGGAATTGAATCCGTAACAAACTTATAAACTATGTTAGTAAGTAGGTAGATTGCTTTTTTTAATTTTACTAAGTATATTGACGGAACGAACAAGTCGTGCGCCTCGTGGTAAGTTACACGCCTGTCCATAACGGTTGCAGCTTTAAATCGCAAAGCTCTGAGGGGTACTGCGCCCGTCACCCTGAAACATAAGTTGACAAGTCCCGTGTGCCTATAATTTCATCAGCACCCTTCAAAACTGGAATGCAGTAATGCTGACATTACTGTTTTGGCGGCAAAAATAGGTAAGGTGGCAGTACTTCACTGGACGAATTCTTTCACAAGGAGCTCTACTGCTACTAGAAATTATATTTATTTGGCAGCCCAATTAGATGTTACCACATGCAGTGCTTAAAACTTTGATTAAACGGATCATTTACTCTGTCCGCTCCTATGGTTAGGTTAGGTTAGACCTTGTATCGTGTATCATACAAATATTACTCCCAGCCCGGGAATGGAAACGGGACCTCTGCGTGGCAGACCAGCATGGTAATTGCTCGAATACGGAGGAGTTTAGCTTATCTAGTTTGGCGCTTTCTTGTTATGGATTGGAAGCCATCCATTGTGGGTTGGGGTTTCACGATGTTTTCCTTCAAAGTTAGCGAGAAACATTGTTACTAAACACATCCAAATGTATGTAACTTAGATTATTACTGTATATAGATAGGTACATGCCGCCACATGCATTGGAACCATCGGCTTTTCAAATGAGAGGCAACCATTCGCTCATTGGACAATCACCGCTCCTTCGAAAGTACATTAAATTTGCTCGTAAAAATGTTGTAAATTGAATGAATGAATTTTGTAAATGTCTTTTAATTAAAACCTTGTTAGAGAGGTTACCTATCCGTAGTCCGAAATGACATTTTCCAGAAATAACGTTTGGTCGAAATTTCATAACCTCGAAAATAATTTTGAGATGAAAATGTTTTACTTTTAAATATAAGTTAACCTAACCTTTTTTTTTTTTTTTTTTTGTTAATCCGGGGGAATCTGCTTACAGATACCCCGGCCCCGCGGGGGCAGAGCCGGGGTTATGTGGGACTGGGCTGAACCCCCGGAGTGTTCCTCCTCTCCGCTGTAGGTGGGGGTACGGGTACGCTGTTGCACTAACCTAACCGAACCTAATCGTGTCTTTGCGATAAACATTCAACATAATATCCTGAAAGAACAACTGTTTCATTATAATTCGGTTTTCGGTGTAATGAAAATTCCAACAAACGTTATTTCGGACAAAAAAATTTTCGACTTTGTGATAGGTTTCCCGTCAGAGGAGACCGTGCCTAGCAGTGGGGGCGTATAAAGAATAATCATGATGAAAGAAAGGTAAAAAAAAAATGGCACTTGGATCATTAAGTACTTCTATCGATAGAAGTACTACAAAGAACGCGAGTACCGGATGCGATTTTGTTATTATGGTTACTTACTCACACCAGGCATTATGGTAAGAGAATGATTTACTTTAATGGAGTTCTTTGGTTTTTTTTATAATGCCAAATGATGGGGTGAACAAGTCGTGCGCCTGGTGTTAAGCGACACGTCTGTCCATAGCAGTTGCAGTACCATTCAGAGCTTGATATACCAAAGATTGAGGGTCACTGCCACTGCATCCGTCACCTTGACACATAAGTTGATAAGTCCCATGTGGCTGTAATATCACCAGCACCCTTACCTCTCAAAACCGAAACGCAGTAATTAGGTAACATAACAGTACTTCTCTGGACGATCTGTTTAACAAGGAGCTCCGCCGCCGTTAGTTGAAACTCAAAACCGAGAAAAAATGTTTAAAGAAATGAAATTAAAAAAAAAATCTACTTTTCTCTTGCGGTAATTTCATATCTTATTCACCTATGAAAAAATACAATTAGTGACAACAGTCTTTTTTTTACTGATCACGGCGGTATATACAACTTCATAACACTTATTTTTTAAATGTCAATCGCTCCCTTTTAACTAACGGCAGCAGAGCTATGTACTGCTACTAAAATTTAAGGTAGGTATGTACGTTAATGAATTTAATATTGATTTTATGACTTTCGTGGTAGCCAGAGTACCCCCTTTCACTGTCGATGACTATACCTTCATCTCTATTATTGTGGCATTACAAGAGTAGATATATAATATTATGTCTGTTTGTCATCTGTCGCTGGCCAGTCAAACCGTGACCATGCTTGTAATCGTTCCGAAACGTCGGAAAAATACGTAAAGAAACCTGTAATCATTGTTTATGTCTTAGAATAATAACGCATAGAAACCTACTCCGCACACGCTAAGTGAGGCAAATTGAAGCGCTCCCAAAGGGCCTACACGAGCGGGCGGGCCTTCAGTGCTCAAAGTCAACTTGCACCGCGAACAGATCAAGAATTTTAGCTAAAAATGACGAAATGTGCGGTAAATGAGTGTAAAAATGCGTCAGACAAACATATATACTAACAAATAGATACTAACATCACATTCCATAAGGAAGTAACGCGTTTCAACTTGTATTTTTACATAAATATTCACTAAAACCGAAAATTAACCTACTACTAAAACTAGCCTACATGAATTTGATTTTTGCCTCACTTGTGACAGTTCGTTTGATATGAAACTATCATTCTATGCGTTATTATTCTAAGGTTTATATTAATGAATTGTCGAGGAACGTGGTAACAGTAACAGGTAACAATTGTATTTATAACAGTACATATTATCATTAAAATTAATATATAAACCAATTAAGTAAATAATTACCCTAGATAATATTCCGACCCTACTCTGTTTTCGTAAAGGCTCGTTACAAAGAAGACAGTCCCATAATGGACTGACTTGCGTGACTTGCCATTTGCCAGGCTCTGCCTTTGCGGCCAATAAAGAACCAACCGTCGAACTGTTTGCAAGACTTTATAGTCAAAAAAATATATATTTCTTACTTTAGGCACTCGTGGATAGATTTGTTCAATCCTACTTAAAAATCTGACGACAGATGGACGGACGCACATCGAAGTATTTCTCAGGACTCCATTTTAGCTACATTGATTCGGAATATTTAAAATTTTATTGAAAATGTCAATTTTTATTTTTATTTGGTATGAAAAGTAATAGATACATAACACAATTAAAACAAAAGTAAAGAAGAAAGTTGAAAAAAGTTAAACGCAATAAAATAGACACCGAAAATGTCGAAAGGCGAAACCTCTTCATCCAACCAAGATCCCCGCTTCGATTTCATAGGATCTTATGCTGTCAAGTCCTTAAAACTGAAGCCAGAAAAATGGACACGAGTCCTAGGCATCGAAGAACACAGGGCGACTTTAAACGACTTTGTTAACAAGCCTTTGCCTTTGTTACTTGTCGTGGTCTTGACCCATACGGCACAATTGGTCCCGGTTATTTCATTCCCATGTTACTTGAAGAATAAAGCTGTTTATTTTGTAAAGAAAAAAGCTGATGTCATTCCTAAGGAACAATGTGCGGAGATGGTGGTTTTTGGTAAGTAAATTCATCTCTACGTATTTTTTAAAACGAAACGCTTTGTTGTATCTGTTGTCGGACAGGTTTTGAAAACTTTAAAAAATTAAAGCGTTTAAAACTAATAGATTTAAATAATTTCGTACAATGTAGGATTTTGAAAATGCTATCGGAGTTGACGTCGACGCTATTTGTCTCGTTGGATATAGGTTCCTATTCATATGTATCCAGCTATTGAACTCTACCTTGTTCACATTCAGGCGACCTAGCACCTCGACTGATAGACGAGCTAGCAGCTCTTGTGGACGAAGTATTCGTGCCGCTGCTGTCAAATCCTCTCAATCACGAAGGGTGGCCGTTGGTGGTCTCACAGGATATACTGAAGCAGATACACAGTTTGAAGAGTACGGTTTATGAGGTGGATATGAAAGCATAATAACTTAAATTTACTCACGTTTATGGAATCTTAATTTTAACTACAAATACTAATTATCAGGTAAAAGGCAAAGTAAATGGTCAAACAGTACTTCCAATGCCTGTGGGAGTAGAATTAGTTCATGAGGCAGAAAAAGGTCTTTTACGAGGTGAGGAGGTGGATCTGTACTTGAAGAGCGCTATTGAAGGAGTAGTCATCAAATGGGCTCAGCAGATTAATGACGTCATGATGGAAGACTCTGCGCTTGCGTTTGAGAACGGACACAATCCATTGCCGACTGTTGGTTAGAATACTTTTATTTCGTATTTCTATAGCTATTATTGTAACTTTTTGCTGATACTTATGAAATAGCTTCATTTTAAAAATTATTTTGTGTGGTATATATTTTCTGCGCTATGTTATAGGTACACGTTTGTGACAAAAAAGTGGTCGAATTTTGGGGTACAAAATTGTCCAAGTCCCTGACAACGTTCATTCGAAAATAAAATTTAAATTTATAATAAAGAAAACACTTTTGGGTTTTCTATTTATTTTATGAAATAGCGACGATAGAGTTGCTTGGATTTCCAATAGAAATTTTGTATATATATATAACTTTAATTTCATAGAGTGTTTTGTAGCCCGAAATATCACTATATCTTTTTCTTACCTACCGTACTTATAAAGCCATAATTTTATTCATATAATTCAACATAATTACAGGGAACAGTATTAAATGTGTGGTTACTTATTTCCAGAATTACAATTTTGGAAGTCACGTCTAAGTAATTTAAATTATATTTACGATCAATTGCGGACCGATAGAGTTCGATGCATGGCTCTTATTTTGGAGAAAACTACTTCAGCTTACTATCCTTGCTTTAGCCGATTGTTTAAGAATATTGTTTCTGGTAAGTAAAAATACGTAGGCTGACTTTTTGAAATACAACGTCGTCGTTTCATTTTAAATACCATGTTTGTTACCATCTGTAATCAATCTGACTTCTCCATTATAATATTCATAATTACACTCCTTTGTAACTTTAAGTCTATTGAATATCACGATATTTTACTACCTTCCTTTCAAAAAATTCCTTCGGTTCGGTTGGATAATTGAGCCAGCGCCTTCAGCATACTGTGCCTGACGCTCGCTTAACTGAAACTCTTGTGTTCTGCTAATTCGTTCCATAGCTCAGTTGGGAGTGCATCAGGTACGGTATGCTGAAGGCGCTGGTTTTAAACCAACCGGATCGAAGGAATTTTTGTAAGTGTTCGGTCTTTGTATTAATAATTACACTTGTTTGATCTATACATTTTCTGGACTATGTGAATTAAGAATAAAATTTAATGAAACTGTAATTATTTTCAGCTCTTGCAGAAACTCAAGAAATAGATCTCTACCTCAGAACCTTAGAGAAACATTTTCAAGCTCTCGAAGACACGGACTTTACAGAATGCCAACCGTTATTTAGACCCTTGTTTCATGTCATTTCTATGATATGGAGAGATTCTAAATACTACTGCAGTTCTTCCAAACTCATTGTTTTGATGAAACAGATTTGTAACTTGCTTATCTATCAGGTTGGTTTTGATCTCACATAAATTGCTTATAAAGATAAACTGGTCACAAGATCTTACAGATTTTAGTGTTTTTTTTTTATATTACGTAGCCGCATAATCTGTTCTTTATCTTTTGTCTTTTTTTTGTACAAAGCTTCTTGCGATGCGCTGAAGTTTACTTATGTTTATCAAGAGGCTTTATCGGGATCAAAATTATTGGTATTATAATCATAATATGTGTCCGTTGTAGGCAAAAAAGTGCTTAGACCCAAGCACACTTTTCCACAGCGACATAGATGAGGCAACACAGCGAATTCAACAGACAATAGACATTCTAAAAAAATTCCGATCTACTTTCGAATATTTTAAAGAAAACATTGGCAAATATTTCGGCGATAGAACTGTAATACCATGGACCTTTCATCCTAATGTAGTTTTTGAAAGAATGAATAAATTTCTAGACAGGCTAGATACGATACAATGGTTTTTCAAAACTGTGCTGGAGTTCCAGAAATTAGAGAAGATAGAAATTGGTGGAATGAAAGGCAAAGTTTTAAGCGGACAGATAAGGGAAATATCAGCTGAATTTGAAGGATATTTCCACGGTTTTGCATCGAAATCGTATGATGTCCTTGACCCGGATGATGATAAATTCAATGTAGATTTTAAAGACTTCCAAGATAATATTGTTGATTTGGATTTGAAGTTGTCGACTGTTCTAGTAGAATCGTTCGATAATTGTTCTACTTTGGAATCCATCTTTAAGGTATTAGAATTTAGACCTGGAAAATATTTACGTTCTTACCGAGAAATTAAATATTAATTTTCTTTCAGCTAATCGATATCGTCGGCTCCGTCTTAGAGAGACCACTCATTAGAAATGAATTTACCGCAAAATACGTAGAAATTATAGTCATGTTAACACATGAAATTGAAGCTTGCGAAGTAAGAGAATTCTATTCATTAAATTGTTGTTTTTTAATAAGAATTGATATCTAGAATGGTTCAGTCAACATTGCACAATTTAATAAAGTGCCAAATTTTATTTTATGTCTACTGCAATAACTTTTTTTCAGGAACTTTTCAACGAGCAATCACACCGTTTAGAGAAATACGGCCATATGGAAATAGATGCTTATCTACCTCCAGTGGCTGGCGGCCTTCTCTATATGACCACGCTGGCTAGCAGGATCACCAAGCCTGTAGTCAGCTTTCGCAATTTGCCGCACCCGTAAGTCAGCTGGGTGGGGCAAATTGCGAAAGCTGATTACTGACTTGCTACCTACCTTAGACCTAAAAATTTCAAGTCAAAACTGTGAGGACTTTCTACTTCCCCTTCTCACGTTAACGTAGTCTTCCATACAGTAGATGTAGTAACGACATACTAAGTAGATAGTGACATTTCCACCGAAGATACTCTTGAAGTTTTTAATCAAGCACTTAGTAGTTTAGACTATAGATGATCTTTTTCTTGCACTTAGGATAAAGGGTACGGATGAGGCGAAGAAAATTTTCGACAGATACGAGAGACTTATTGAGAACATCACAGAGTTTAAGAAGAAGTATTTCAACGACTGGACAGTCAATATTGCGGTCATTATCGAAAAGAAAAGCAATAAGACTATTCTTACTCGGCAGGGGCAGGATCTTGTTCTTAACTTTGACCCAATGGTGAGTTACAAAAGGTTTTCTTCTTTTTGAACAACTTGACGAAACTAGATGTAATATGGTGTGTTTAGTGCTGAGATATTTCTTTCGTGAGTAATATTTGTATGTTTGGTTTAGCTTCAAGAAATCATAAAAGAAGTCCACCATTTACGAACAAACCCAGATTTTATGAGCGCACTACCAAAAGAAACCTTGGAACTCTTCGAGAAGCACGAAACCTACAGGCAGTACAGAATAAATTTAAGCATTACTATAGATTGGTACAATCAGATTAGGAAAAACAGTCAGAAAGAAGAGTTTGATCTAGTTGAAGATGAAATCAAAGCCATCGATCAAAGAATTGAGATGGCTAGAAACAAATTAAACTGGAATTCGCCAGGTAAATCTTAATTTGTGAGAACCACTATTCAATTGTTCAATTTTCATTTAAATAATGATTACATGCCTAATGATAACATTTTAGATTTATGGAATTGTCTGCAAGAATTACATACTTTAGTTGGTAACTTGTATCAGCGCATGTCCAAAATTCAAGAAAATTTAAGAGAAATCAAGTCGGTATTGAAAGTGTGGTCATCACTCCCACTTTTTGAAAGAAAAGAAGGCAAGAAGGTATGTTTGTTGCGAATCAACATTGATCAAATGAATGTTGTTATTAAATATCGTTGAAGAGATAGTTGGATCTCGTATTTGTGTATATATTTAAATAAATAGGTTGAGGTTATTTGAGCACTTGCCAAAATTCTTTACATTTTCTATCTTCTTCAAAAAAGCGCACATTTGTTGAAGCTGCCTTTTGTCACTGGCTTATTTATTGCCAACCGATAAACTCTTCAACTTCGAAAAGACTGTCGTCTAAAATTATGGCACATAACTGTGCGCATTTATTTTCTATTATGAGTTATGCTCAGGCTGTACTACTACCCGTAATTTCTCATTGTTCTTCGACCTAAACGACATGGTTCCTCTTCCTAGTAGGTACTTGATGTGCAGCTTATAAAATTTTATTTACTTTAAACTGCAAAAATACAGTTGACTGTTTATTGTTAAACTAGTTTCTCTGGCGATCTGATTAGCTTAGAAAATATATCCAAACTTGTACCCATGGATACACATTTGGTTACACCTGAAATATTATTATTATTAAAATATTATCCCTTTGTGATTATTGTCCCTTAGGATACCTTACTTAATCTCGAAGAGCGGCAAGAAAAGACCAGTAAGAGATACAGTGATATAGAAGCAACAGCAAACCGTATCAAGGAATTATTAAATGAAAACATGAAATTGTTTAACATGCAAGACAATCAAGATAGTGAAATTTGGCTAAATTACGTTGCGTTTATTGATACTTTGATCGAAGATGCATTGTTCAAAACTATAGCTGTTAGGTAAGTGCATAACTTTCCTTAGCTGGACAAGTGCTTAAAATTTAACAAATATTATATCTTATTTTATTTATGCAGTTTGGGCTACATAACTGAGCATATGAATCCGAAAAATAAATTAGCTCCTTTATTCGAGGCTCAATTAGAATTATTAGATCCAGATATGGTGTTTGCACCAACACTCGATCCCAACAACGAGAAAGGTTTCACAGCTCTTATAAAAGGTCTCATTGACGATATCTTAAAAATGTCTGCCTTGATAGATAGAATTGATCCTAAAAAAGACAAGTCTTATGAAGAGTATATTAAAAATCATGTGGATATAGTTGAAATGAAAGAAGAAATTCTAAGCGGTATAGAGAAAGTAATAGAAGATGCTAATGAATTCTGCAAGACATTTGAGAACTATTCTTACCTTTGGTTGGAGGAAAGAGATGCAGTCATGGAAGTCTTCCTTACGTATGGCAGAATTTTAACACCAGAAGAAGTGGATAGGATTGGATCTGAAGACAAGGAAATTAGTGCAACGGCGCCCAAACCTTGTCCACCAAAAATGGATGCCTTTCGAGAACAAATTGATCATTTTGAAAATCTTTTTATGGACATAGAAGAAATTGATTCGTATAAAATCTTTAACTGTTGGTTCCAGGTATTTATTAGGAAAATAGAATTACAGTTTTAATCTATGACAAACGTCAATATATTAGTCTGTTTTAAGGTTGATGTAAGGCCGTTTCGACAAGCTTTATTGAACACAGTAAGAAAGTGGGGTAATATGTACAAAGAACATTTAGTTAACAACGTAACATCGAGCCTTACCGATTTGGGTAATTTCATTCGCGAGGCTGACGAAGGTACGGTAGAATAGCAATGGAAATAGTTTTATTCATAAATCATTTGAATGTAAGTAATAAAATTACTAATAATATACTCGTAGGTCTACTCCAACCTGTACCAGAAGGTGATTATGATGCCCTAGTTGCAGTAATGGGATATCTTATGAATGTGAAGGATCGTACAGCAACCACGGATGACATGTTCCAGCCTCTTACTGAAACCATAGAGTTATTGAAATTTTATGACATGGATATTCCTGAAGAAGTTAATGTTCTTTTACAAGTGAGTGACGAATTAATTAATAATAAAATACTATATCACTATTAGAAGCTTCTTGAATCTAAATTTTAAATTATTAAATTTTGTTAAGGAATTGCCAGAACAATGGCAAGCGACGAAAAAATTAGCACTAACTGTAAAGCAGCAAGTGGCACCACTGCAGGCAGCTGAAGTATCTGGCATTAGAAAGAAAATAGCCACTTTTGAATCACACGTCAGTTATTATAGAGAAGTTTTCAAGAGATATGATGTAAGTACAATTTGTAATTTATTAGCATCTAATTTACATTTTATGTCATCCATTGTAATTTTTATTTTCTTTGTTGTAGTTCTTTAGATACGATTGTGAAGATCCTTACGCTTTGATGTCAAGAGTGGATTACGAAATCCTTCAACTTGAAGAAGAAATGAAGAACATTCAAGAGTCAGGGTCATTGTTTGAAGTCAACGTACCGGAATTTAAGTTATTAAAGCAATGTAGAAAAGAATTAAGGATGTTAAAGGTAAAGGCAATGAAATAGCTGATGATACTTTAAGGATAACTATTTAAAGGCAAAATTTCCATTTATTATTTTAATGTTTTAGCAACTTTGGGATTACGCGTTCATTGTAAAAACAAGTATAGAAGATTGGAAGACGACGCCGTGGCGAAAGATTGATGTTGAAAACATGGACATCGAGTGCAAGAAATTTGCTAAAGAAATCAGATTACTTGATAAAGAGATGAGAAGGCAAGCTATTTTTATGCTTTGAGTTTTTGATAAGAAAATTTCTACTGAATTGAATTGTTTCATCTTGTTATTTTAGTTGGGATACTTATATAAATTTGGAGGCAACAGTAAAAAATATGCTAACATCCCTAAGGGCTGTAGGTGAACTTCAAAATCCGGCTATTAGAGAACGGCACTGGGACCAACTAATGCGCAGTACAAAGGTGACATATTTGGTTTAAACCCAATTTGTGTACAACTTCGAAATTGTATATAAATTCAAATGTAAATATTATCATTCGTTTTTTATATGGTTCGCACATTGAGAGTCTATGGATTGTTGTTATGGGTTTGAAATTCTGTAATAATTTTTGCATGTTCTGCATCAATAGCATGTACAATGCTTTCACTGTTGTGAACCTTCAATCGGTCACTTTGATTGGCTGGGGAATGTATAATACAATCTATGTCGTGTGGTGTATGTTTGTGTTTATGTAAATATATACGTTTGTGAATGTAAATAATGTTTATGGTCCACAGAGCTTAGCAGCATTGCCACCTGAGCTCACTGTAAGTAAAAGGTGACATGGGGTTTGCATGCATGCATGGTATAATTTTTTATTTATTTATTTTATTTTTTGAGCGTACAAACTGCTTGTATAATAATGTAATAGAAACTATATTAACTATGTTTTCTGTTATTATATTTTTGTTTCTTCTTTTCTTTATCTATCTTTTACTATAGAAAATCTTTGCTTCAAGGGCGTACTTAATAATAAAAATTACACTTGCATAGTTATCGTTACTTATATATTATTATTATTTATTAACATAGGTAAACAGTTGAGTAACATTGGGATATCACTTGTAAGTATCATCGATAAATGTTACATAAAGTTCAACACGGCTAAATGTTGCACTTAGATATTTCATAAATCTTTAAATCGAGACCAGCCGTTACTGTATCTGTACAGCAGATATATTATGTATATTGAGTGTATATTAGGTGTACATTAAATTTAGTACATATACCAGTAGATATAATAGATGAAATAGAAAAAGAAATATAGTGATTCTTAACTATTTGATTTGACAAAAACATTATTGCGTTCCTTTACTGTTACTAGGTGAGGATAGTAATGGATGAAAACACAACGCTAGCAGATCTTTTGGCTCTGAATTTGCACGAATGTGAGGAAGAAGTGAAAAATATTGTAGATAAAGCAGTAAAAGAAATGTCAATGGAGAAAACTTTAAGAGATTTAAACACTACCTGGAGTCGAATGGAGTTTGAACAAGAGATACATTCAAGAACTGGTTGTATACTGCTGAGAGCTAGTGAGGAGCTTATTGAAACTTTAGAAGAGAACCAGGTGAGGCGAAAAGTAGGAATAAAGTGATGTTATAAATCATATTGTCAATGACGTTCAAGTAATCTTTTCTTTACATCTTTAGATTAGATCGTGAATATTTCATCTATTCGTTCTATTTGAATGCGTAGCCCCATACTCGTGCGTCGTTGACTGACATAATAAAATTAAGTTAACTAAAAACTTTGTTGATTTATTTTAACTAGGTACAACTACAAAACTTAATAACATCAAAATTCATCGCCTATTTTCTGGAAGAAGTATCAGGCTGGCAGCAGAAGTTGTCTATAGCAGATCAAGTGATCTCTGTTTGGTTTGAGGTACAGCGGACATGGACGCATCTTGAGAGTATTTTCATGAGTTCTGAAGATATTCGAAAACAATTGCCTGATGATTCTGCTAGATTTGATAGAATAGATGAAGAGTTTAAAGTAAGTTGTTGTCTTTATTATTATAATATTTCTCGATAATCATGACGACAAAATTTTGTTTTTCAATCATTTGTCAGAGTTTGAAATCTGGGTGTACTGAACGCTTTTCTAAAACTTCATCAACTTTGGACAACGAGTCATTAGTTTGATTACACTATCCATACACGTAAACCATGTCATTGTAATATAATAAACTGCATTTTAAGTAACAATATTCTCTTTTTATATTTTTCTAGAGTATTTCTAAAGAGATGTCGAAAACTCCCAATGTAGTGCAAGGAACAAACAAAGAAGGCTTGGTAGAAAAACTGGATATGCTTCAGAAAGATTTAGTGCTTTGTGAAAAAGCATTAGCTGAGTATTTGGAAACTAAAAGATTAGCATTTCCTAGGTTTTATTTTGTTTCTTCCGCTGATTTGTTAGATATTTTATCTAATGGAAATCAAGCTGAATTGGTAATTAGGTATGTAGTACACCTAAACTTAACTATTGGGAAAATGTAGTTAAAAATACTTTATCTTTGTAAATCGTTACAGGCATTTGACAAAGCTCTTTGATTCAATAGCCAAGTTAAAATTTATTGAAAGTGATAAACCAGGTGAAAAGGTCTCGTCGGGTATGATAGCTAAAGATGGCGAATATGTACCATTTCATGGAACCTGTGATTGTACTGGTCCAGTAAGTAATAAATAATAGTTTTTTAAGAAAGTAGATTTCATGTATATGTCAATTGATGTAATTGATGCACTAAATAAGTCAAACTATTCTTAAAATTATGCTCACAGGTGGAAATATGGTTGAATAGATTGCAAGATATGATGAGATTATCAATCCGCCACTATTTTGGAGAAGCTATGGTCTCCTATGAGGAAAAACCACGAGAGCAATGGCTCTTCGACTTCATGGCACAAGTCTCACTTTGCGGAACCCAAATTTGGTGGACAACTGAAGTTAATATGGCCTTTGCCAGATTAGAAGAAGGATATGATAATGCTTTGAAGGATTACTATAAGAAGCAGTTAGCTCAACTTAGTACATTAATTACATTATTGATAGGAGAGTTAAGTAAACAGGACCGCCAGAAAATTATGACAATTTGTACAATAGACGTGCATTCAAGAGATGTCGTTAGTAAGATGATACAACAAAAGGTGGAGGCGGGATCAGCGTTTCAATGGCAGTCTCAGCTAAGACACAGGTTTTGAGATCTCATAGTAGATCATCTGCACTTGTAGTTCACAGGTTATTTTCATCTTCATTTACACTTTACTTAGCCAAAACTGTATTAGTTGTATCTTCGCTATCTCTCATTTGCATCCTTAATTTTGGTCTATAACATTTTGTACAAGCTACTTGCAATATTTTATGCCTAAAAATGGTACGTGTTATTTAAATTTCGTAGTTTGAAACAGAATGATTGTTTTTAGATGGGGTGACAAAGAACATCATTGTTTCGCTAACATTTGCGACGCTCAATTTCTCTACAGCTACGAATATCTTGGCAACACTCCTCGTCTTGTTATTACACCATTGACGGATAGATGTTATATCACATTAACACAGGTATTGAATGTTCCTTTCCTCGAAGAGCTGTTTGGAGAATTAGCTTTAGTACATTAAACAACTAATTTTTGCGATGTATACACAGCAGATAATACGCATCAAAAATTTTATAGTATTGTTTGTCTTACTACTAAAAAAGGGCGTTTTATGGGTGTAATAAAACATGTGGGAAGTAACATGATAAGTTTTAAGTCACAAATTAAAAGGTTCCATAAATCATGAACATATTTCATACTCTTTGTTACTTATTTTTGCTTCCAGTCATTGCATTTAATCATGGGTGGAGGTCCAGCAGGTCCTGCTGGTACAGGCAAAACAGAAACAACAAAAGACTTAGGCAGAGCTCTAGGTATAATGGTTTACGTGTTCAATTGTTCAGAGCAAATGGATTATCAGGTTGGATATATTATTTTTTAATACATAGTGAAATAAAATATGAGAATATAAAGTTTATGTCAATGATGCCGTCTATTACAGTCTTGTGGTAACATATACAAAGGATTGGCTCAAACTGGAGCTTGGGGATGCTTTGATGAATTTAATAGAATATCTGTTGAAGTACTTTCTGTAGTTGCTGTCCAAGTAAAATCGGTACAAGATGCAATAAGGTAAAGTATTTTATAGAATGTGTTTAACAAAAAACTAAATAATACGTTTGGAAGCTTAACTTTATGTTTTGCATTCGCAGAGACAAAAAAGAAATGTTCAATTTTATGGGTGAGATGATAGTACTCGTTCCGACGGTTGGAATATTCATCACCATGAATCCAGGTTATGCCGGCAGAACAGAACTGCCTGAAAATCTTAAAGCCCTCTTTAGACCGTGTGCAATGGTAGTTCCTGACTTTGAATTGATTTGTGAAATAATGTTGGTTGCTGAAGGATTCCAAGAAGCCAAAATTCTAGCAAGGAAGTTTATTACATTGTATACTTTGTGTAAAGAGTTGTTGTCTAAACAAGATCATTACGACTGGGGTCTGAGAGCTATAAAATCTGTACTTGTTGTGGCTGGTTCGTTAAAGGTATGTATAGAATTATAGATAACATATTCACGCTAATGTAAATCCAAAATAAGATAATTTAGTAAGGACGTTTATGATACTTCAGAGAGGAGATCCGGGCAGACCTGAAGAAGAAGTTTTAATGAGGACTTTGCGCGATTTTAATATACCAAAGATAGTGACCGACGATATGCCTGTATTTATGGGTTTGATCGGAGACTTGTTTCCTGCTCTAGAAGTACCTAGAAAGCGGGATTTGGAATTTGAAAGGACTGTCAAACAAGCGGCTATGGATTTATCACTTCAACCTGAAGATAATTTTATATTAAAAGTGGTTCAACTTGAAGAGCTATTAGAAGTTCGTCATTCAGTTTTCATTGTTGGCAACGCTGGCACAGGCAAGACGCAAGTATGGAAGTCTCTGTTTAAAACCTATCAAAACCTTAAAAAGAAGCCTATTTTTAACGATTTGAATCCCAAAGCTGTAACTAATGATGAATTGTTTGGTATAATAAACCCTGCTACGAGGGAATGGAAGGATGGACTATTTTCAGTAATAATGAGAGATCAAGCTAATCTTTCCGGAGAAAATCCGAAATGGATAATCCTTGATGGAGACATAGACCCAATGTGGATTGAGTCTTTGAATACAGTGATGGATGATAATAAAATTTTGACTTTAGCCAGCAATGAAAGAATTGCTTTAACACCTACTATGAGACTTATGTTTGAGATTTCTAATTTAAGGACCGCTACACCAGCGACGGTATCTAGAGCTGGTATTTTGTATATAAATCCACAAGATTTAGGATGGAATCCGTAAGTTATTTTACTTTGATACTTATGATGCTCCTACGTTGCCAAGTCGTTTAAGAATTTCGCCTTACCGTTGTATTTTTTGTTATTCCAGATATGTTACTAGTTGGGTAGAAACAAGAAAAATTCCAGCTGAAAAATCCAATCTTGTAATGCTTTTCGATAAATACATACCATCGTGCCTAGAAACCGTCAGAAATAGATTCAAAAAGATCACACCAATAGCTGAAATGGCTCATATACAAATGTTATGCCATTTATTAAATTGTTTGTTTGTGCCAGAGAATACGCCAGCGGAATGTCCCAAAGAGTGGCATGATATTTATTTCGTTTTTGCTTGCGTTTGGGCTTTTGGTTCTGCCATGTTTCAAGACAGTGCTATTGATTATAGAGTTGGTACGTTTTTCAACATTCTTATTGTTTATCGTGCTCTATAAACATCCTTATAATACTTACTAATTTTCAGAATTTACAAAATGGTGGGTGAATGAGTTCAAGCATATTAAGTTTCCACCTGGTGGTACTGTCTTTGATTTTTATATTGATACTGAAACAAAACAATTTACTCCTTGGACAGAAAAGATACCAAAATTCGAATTAGACTCAGACATACCTTTGCAGGTAAAGGATTCTATATTATTGGAAAGACATATTTTTGTGTACAAAATCGTATCAAGAACTTAATATTGTGGTCATATATTCTAGGCAGTTCTAGTGCCTACAGCAGAGACTATAAGAATCAGATATTTTTTGGACTTGCTGATGAAAAATAAACATCCAGTAATGTTAGTCGGAAGTGCTGGATGTGGCAAAACTGTCCTTGTCAATGAGAAGCTGCAGAGGTAGGCCGCCAGATGTATTTACTTCATGTGATGTAGTGTCTGCTATTATCAATTGTAATGTTAATGTTACTTTTTAGCCTTCCAGAAAACTACGCTGTACAAGCTATACCATTCAATTTCTATACAAGCTCAGAGATGTTACAAAAAATTCTTGAAAAACCTCTAGAAAAGAAGGCTGGTAGAAATTATGGCCCACCTGGCAATAAAACACTCATATATTTCATAGATGATATGAACATGCCTGAGGTGGATGGTTATGGGACTGTGCAGCCCCATACAATAATAAGACAACATTTGGATTACAATCATTGGTATGATCGTACCAAGTTAACTCTCAAGGACATTCACAATACTCAATACGTTTCTTGTATGAACCCAACTTCGGGTAGTTTTACTATCAACCCCAGGTTGCAGAGGCATTTCTGTGTGTTTGCTATTAGTTTTCCGAACAATGACGCACTTAATAGTATATATTATTCAATCCTGAGTCAGCATTTAGCGAATCCCGAGTTAAGGATTAATCCACAGATTGCTAAATTGTCATGTAAGTACTTTTGCAATGACTACTTCTAATTCATTGTTGCTCTCTTCAGTAATGTTTTTTTTGTGTTACTAATATATATTCGTTTATTTCAGCATGCGTAGTGGCGGCATCAATAGCTCTACATAATAAAGTATCTCAAGTTTTCTTGCCAACTGCCATTAAATTCCATTATATTTTCAATTTGAGAGATTTATCGAATATGTTCCAGGTATATTTGTATCTGTCAAATTGTTTATGAAATAAATACTTACTACTCAAATCAGAGGCTAATGATTTGTACTTTCAGGGTCTACTTTTCAGTACAAATGAATGTTTAGTAAATCCGTCGGATCTAATTAGGTTGTGGCTTCATGAAACTCATCGCGTTTACGGCGATAAGCTGACTGAAGATAAAGATATTGATGCTTTTCTGAAAATGCAAGTTGATCTTTGCAAGAAGAACTTTGAGGTATGTATAAAGATAAAGATAAATAATTTGTATTGACTACAAAATATTCCAAGTTTGGTAAACATTTGTTGAACATAGGATTGTTTAATAAATAATTTGTAATTTAACTTTTTAAATTCATATTATGTCCTTGAAGGATATTGATGAAGGTATAGTGTTCGAACGTCCTAACATATACTGCCACTTCGCTGGCGGTATTGGCGAGCCCAAATATATGCCAATAGAGACTTGGGAGCAGCTTAACAAGTTATTGACAGAAGCCATGGCCAGTTACAACGATCTCATCGCTGCTATGAATCTAGTGCTGTTTGAAGATGCTATGATGCACATTTGCAGGTACTTCGGAAATTACTTGGTTCTATTTAAAAAAAACAGTTTCATTGTTTACGTTAAATTTACTTTTCAACTTTGGTTTGCTTATTATTTTTGAGGAATTTATAAACTTGAATTTATTTCAGGATAAGTCGCATTTTAGAAAGTCCGAGAGGTAGTGCTTTACTAGTTGGGGTCGGAGGGTCAGGCAAACAGTCATTATCTCGATTAGCAGCTTTCATTGCCAGCTTAGAAGTCTTGCAAATCCAATTAAAGAAAGGCTATGGTGTTACTGATTTGAAGGTACGAATTGAGTTTCTGGAAGCCGCTTGCTAATTTAAATTTAGATGCCGTTACTTTTTTCTTATTCTGAGTTATTTTAATCATTTGCCCGAAATACGGCGTTAAAACGTCACTCCTGTCGTAGGTATACATATGTATACAAATTAAAAGATTACAACTTAATGCTCTTGTACACTATTGTTGTTTCAAATCAATAAAAATAATCTAGTATTAATGTACTAGCATTATATCACTTTTATTCAACTATTTCGCTCCAGTATAAACTTTTCATTAATGTAATTGTAATATTTATTTTCAGAAAGAACTTTCGGGTCTCTATATTAAAACAGGTCTGAAAAACGTTGGCATAATGTTCCTGATGACCGATGCACAGGTCGCTAATGAACAGTTTCTTGTATTGATCAACGATTTCTTGTCTTCCGGTGAAGTGGCTGATCTATTCCCTGATGATGAGATTGAGAATATTATTGGTGGAGTTAGGAATGAGGTATGGGAAGTTTATTCTAGTTTATTCCAATTTGGTTCAGTAAACGAAAAATTAAAAAAAAAAATTGTAATTTTATTATTGTATACTAATTTTATTACATTACTATAAAGACTAACGTTTGAGAATAAGTATTCTAATCCTAACTTTTTTGCACCAGCTAACTAACTAACTTGTAAACAGACTAATTTACTATTTTGAAAATGAAACATACCGTATAACATTGACGACACAAAGAATGGTTTCATCACACACACTTCCACAAAAAATGAATCATGCTAGCGATGAATGCGAGAGAATAGTCGGGTAGGTGGGAGTGAAATCTCTTCTTACCTACCCCATTTTTGTGTTTATTATTGGCAACATGATATGCAGCGGTGTGCAGAAAAATCTTTAATAGATTTATGCGACACCGTTTTATGTATTTTTAACTTAGTAAAAGATATATATGTTATAAATAAAAAAGTGCAGCTTTTGTTGGTTGTTTATCATAGTAAAACCTCTGTCCAACATTTCTTGATCATTATTTATTTATGGAGTTGAGTTAATCTGCTACGCTTTTACATTTATAGGTAAAAGGCGCCGGTCTACCGGATACTCGAGAAGTTTGCTGGAAATTTTTCATTGACCGTGTCAGAAAACAACTGAAAGTTGTATTATGTTTCTCTCCTGTGGGCTCCACACTGAGAGTCAGATCGAGGAAGTTCCCAGCCCTTATCAACTGTACATCAATAAATTGGTTCCATGAGTGGCCGCAGGAGGCGTTGGTATCTGTGGCTATGAGGTTTTTGGAGGAGTTACAGGTTTTACCGGTAAGCAGTGCTCCTTAAATTATGTCTTTTATATAAATTATATTTGCTGTCCGCAGCAATATTTCTTTATCTGATTTTTGGAAAAAAATAAATGTTTATGCGACATATAAACGGCTATAGCTTCCATCTCACGTGAAATTGTTGTACCATTTTATTATTTTTACTTAGACATAATTTTGAGGATTTTTTTTGTAAAGTTGCATTGTTTTATTTAAGAGCACATTGCACAGTTTAGTGCTATTGTAATTTTCGTTTGAAGCGTTAAGTATGCAAAGCGATTTTGTTAGCGACCTCTTTTTAAGCTCAATTGAGGCTCTGCCTTGTATAAGCTGAGTGAACTACACTTTTCGGCTATTATTGTGTCCTTTTTTATTTTTTTATTTTTTTATTAATTGTGTTACATTATTGTTATATTTAAATTATTATTGTAATAAAATAAATAAATGTTTCTTTCTTTTCTTTCAAAACGAGAACGTTTACTATATCCATTATTTTGACATTGAACTATATACTCCTCATTCGGATATTCATAATGTTTCTTGTTGAGTTTCTGGTAGTCTTGTGAATTTCTACGTCATTCAGTAAATATTTACCCCGATTTATCGTAAAAATAGTGTTATTATTAAATAAAATTATCGTGTACGCGAACGAAGCTTTTTAGCATCCATTCAAATTGACAAATATCCGAACTGAATGTTTCGGTTATTCCTCAATCTAATTTCGAAATTTGAAAGTAGAATGAAGAATACAATTTACTGTTCATGACGAACCCCAAACTTCGAGTTTCGGCTTGTGAAAAATAAAAAGTATAAAGAAAGACAGCTGCTCTTTGGTAGGGAATCCACATTCCACCGAGCTATTCAATACATAAACCGTCCGATAAATTACATTTCAGGTAGCTTTAAAAGATTCTATATCAAGGTTCATGGCCTACGTCCATACTTCAGTGAACACGATATCAAAGGCCTATTTGTCGAATGAAAGACGATACAACTACACGACGCCTAAAAGCTACTTGGAGCAAATCAGTTTGTACGCAAAACTGGTCAATGCAAAAACCAAGGAGCTTCAAGCTAAGATAGTACGGTAAGTGATATTGCGCTAGTAATTTGACAGTAGGTACAACGAAATTTTTTAAGTATTTGTAGAAAAAATAAACAAGGACCTAGCAATGTTATGCAAGAAGCTATGCAAGAAGACGTCGGTTTGAATCCGACCGGATCGAAGGAATTTTTTCTGAGTGTTTTTTCTGAGTGTTCGATCTTTGTATTAATAATTATAACAAACTAGTGGAGTAATTTCACAAAAAATAATTGAATATCAATTCAATAAAAATTTAATTAATACAGTGAATAGCGACATCTCTCGCCAGGACTGGTAGCTGTAAAGGTACTAACTGGGTGATAAATCTGGAATAGATTTCTCATAGATGGCGCTACGACTAAAAAGTCGTTGAAAGACCAAGTACAAAGACACGACGCAAGCACATAGAAAAATTCGTGAGGTCCGTTGGTTCGTTCCGTGGCTTAGTTGGTATAGCGTCTGGCACGGTATGCAAGAAGACGTCGATTCGAATCCGACCGGATCGAAGGAATTTTTTCTGAGTGTTTTTTCTGAGTGTGATTAAGGACCTATCAACTTTTTTACTAAAACTGTGGTGAATGTAAAAAAAATGCATTTGATAATTCTAATTTGAATTTGCTTATATGTCTTAGGCACACGCAAGTCTGCAAAACGTATTGTTGTAGATACTCTTTTTATTTAAGTATGAAATAAATATTAGACAACAACACATACGTTGCTCTGATCCCAAAGTAAGTAGCTAAAGCACTTGTGTTTTGGAAATCGGAAACAACGATGCTACCATAAACACCCAGACCTGAGACAATATAGAAAAAATATTTTTCTACGCTGACCCGGCCGGGGATCGAACCTGAGACCTCTCAGATGGTGACATCATGAACAGCGGTGTCCAAGCCACTCGACCACGGAGGCCGTGTACAGTAGTTAAAGAAGTTGATTGACTCATACGTTTATTTACATATTTAAATTTCCAAATTTGTATGATTGTCATGCGATAATTATAAATAAATTATTAGGCAAATCAAGTTGCTTTTTACCTTGGCAAGAATTTGCATTCAATTATACTAATGAATGTCTTAATACTTTTATTCGTATTCGTTTAATTACACTGCTTAGTTTTTTATATTTGCATTTGAATTCAATGAAATAGAGTTCTTTACAAAACTGTATTAAAAAAAATAGACTGCCTGAGAAATCCAAGTGCTGGCAGCTACCTTGCCCAACGTATAAGCATAGCTATACAAAGGGGGAACGCTATCTGGTCTTGGGTACCTTGCTGCGGCATATTTTTTATTTGCATTTTTGTAGCTTGCAATACTTAATAATATAAAAATATAGTTATTTAGATATGACTGGTTAAATTGTTCATAAGTTATTTAGGTATAATGTTACCTCTTTACATTCTGTTTATTTTAGGTTAGAAAATGGGTTAGAAAAGCTCCGTAGCACAGCGTGTCAAGTCGATGATCTGAAAAAAACGTTGGCCGTCCAAGAAATAGAACTACAGCAAAAGAATGAAGCAGCAGATAAGCTTATTGAAATGGTGGGTGTGGAGACTGTCAAAGTTCAGAGCGAAAAAGCGCTTGGTAAGTGTGAATAGATGATACATTAAGAAATTATTGTTACAATGTTAAAGTTGGTCATATGAAATATTTATTGATACAAGAGCAAGTACTTATACATTATCACCTTATCTTCCAAACTATAAAAGGATTCTTAACCTGATATTGAAATAATAAAGACGCATTGAAACGAGAACTTCAGTATTTATTAAAACCGGCTGATAATTAAATCGTACGTACTATCGGAAGGCCAAAGAAAAGATGGATGGAGTATGTGAATGATGGATAAGAAAGGTGTGAATATGGAAATGATAGCTGATAGGGGAGAGTGGCAGAAAAATATATGTTGTGCCGACCCCATTTAGCGTGTGATAAGAACAGGAAGAAGAAGAAGAATTAAATCGTACTTACATACAGTTGACAATTAATAGATGATTCGAGATAATAATTTTATCTCGTTTTGTTTCGTATTGTAATACATTTTTTTATGATATGAAGTAATATAAGTAATGGGACGTACAATTTATACGCCTGTAAGCGATACGCCTGTCCTTAGTAGTTACAGTGCCACTGAGAGCTTTAAATCGCAAAGATCTGAGGAGCAATGCTACTGCGCCAGTCACCCTGTGTTTCGGTTTTGAAGGGTAAGGTTGCTGGTGAAATTACTGGCATATGGGACTTGTCAGGGTGACAGGCGTAGTGGCAATATGCTTCGTTGCGATTTAAAGTTCTGAATTGTGCTGCAACTGCTATGGACAGGCGTGTCGCTTAATATCAGGCGCACGACTTGTTAGTCCTGTCACTTAGTATCATGAAAGAACCCTAAGACATAAGTTGAAACGTCTCATGGGCCTGTAATTTCACTAGCACCCGAAACCGAAACGCAGTAATGTTCACCTTACTGGGTGGCAAAAATAGATAACGTGGTAGTACTTCCCAACTCTTTCACAAAGAGCTCTACTGCTACTAACTCTTATCTTACCAACTTATACATATTTCAACAGCTGATGAAGAAGAAGAAAAGGTTGCTGTAATAGCAGAAGAAGTATCCAAAAAGCAAAAAGAGTGTGAAGAAGATCTGATTAAGGCAGAACCAGCTCTCGTTGCTGCTCAGGAAGCTTTAAACACATTGAACAAGGCTAATCTTACAGAACTGAAATCTTTTGGATCGCCTCCTGGGGTCGTGACAAATGTTACTGCAGCTGTAATGGTGTTATTAGCTCCTGGTGGAAAGATACCAAAGGACAGAAGTTGGAAGGCAGCGAAAGTAAGTTTAGTGTTTTGTATGTACGAAATAAATTTGAGCAAAGCACTCATTCACACGTTCTTTCCTGGATTCCATTTTAACAGGTGGTGATGGCAAAAGTGGACATGTTCTTAGAATCACTGATTAATTATGATAAGGAAAACATCCATCCCGATGTTATAAAAGCTATTCAACCATATCTCAAGGACCCAGAGTTTGAGCCTGGTAAGTGGTGTGCATATGGACCGAAGATGTTAAATTTACTTTTAGGAAACGGATCCCGAGCAAAAGATTGGAGATGTACATGCTCAAGTTGAAATCCTTTTTAATGTAAAAAATGTTTAAATCATGTATTTATATTTGTGCCGCATTTTCAGAGTTTGTAAGGTCAAAATCTGCTGCCGCTGCAGGTTTATGCGCATGGGTAATAAATATAATAAAATTCTATGAAGTATTTTGTGATGTTGAGCCTAAAAGAAAGGCCTTAGCTGCTGCTAATGCTGAGCTAGCCGCTGCTTCCGAGAAATTAAAATCCATCAAGTCACAAGTTGCAGTAAGTTATATTTCAGAACTACAGCAATTACTTAAATTGGAACGAAACCAGAATTACACATTACCAGACCTAGAGAAAGTGTCAATTCATGAAGTACAATTTGAATATTTTTTACTATTTTCTTTTCAAATTAAAATATAATCTTTTCAGGCTCTAGAAGATAAACTAGCAAATTTAACAGCAGACTTTGAGAAAGCAACATCAGAGAAAATGAAATGTCAACAAGAGGCCGATGCAACTAATAGAACTATTCAACTCGCTAATAGACTTGTGAATGGCCTCGCTAGTGAAAACGTTAGATGGGCAGAAGCTGTGTCCAAGTACGTTGCTTATAATAGTCAGGTCTCTTTTTTAAATCCACCTAGAGTAGGACTGGTTACCTATCGCAAGCTAGAAACATGATTTACAGAATTTTGTTTGTCCGAACACCTTTAAATTTTCATTAAACAGACTTTGTTTCATTTCTCCGAAAACACAGTGACAGTTTTTTTTCATTACACCATTTAATGGACAAGTTATTATTTTGATGGACACTATTTTGATGGACAAGTTATTATTTTCCCGTTGACCAACGTATCTAATTGAAAATTTTTATTTAGTAAAAAAACGATATCCATGATACAATTTTGTTATATTATTTCTTAGTACAGATATTAAAAGTATTAGAACGTGTCGCAAAATAAGAACTCGTCAAATTAAAGCACCTCGCATATTTAGAAAATATGGTAAACGAGATGCAAGTTAATTTGATCGAGTTGTAGTCGCTCGCTTCACTCGTTCGGACCGTGCTGCTTTTTCATATACTAACCTAACCTAAACCTACGGGAGGAATCGTACCGTCTAGGTAATGCAAACAAATTAGACTCTGACACTCGCTGGCTACTGCCACGATACACTCGCTTCGCCTTCTCGGCTCGTGCGGCTTTTTCATAGACTAACCTAACCTAAACCTACAGGAAGGGGTCGTACCGCCTATTTAATGCAAACAAATTCGGATGTGGCACTCGCCGGCCGCTACCGCGGCACGCTCGCTTCGCTCGCTCGGCTCGTGCGGCTTTTTCATACATTTTTTCATAGATTTCATACACTAACCTAACCTAAACCCACATGAGGTGGTCGACCTAGCTAGGAAATGCAAACAAATTCGGTTCGGCTACTCTCCTCGATTCAGATATAAGTTATTTATTGAATACTCAAGACCATTGTTTTTAAATTACATTTGAGATGATAGCAAAAACATAGCACAATGGTATGACGAAAATTACGTAACTGGGCTTGCTGTGCACCAGCAAAGTACAATCTAGAATTTTGGAGCAGTACGGTAAAATTGTATGACGGTACAATTTTATCTAAGAATTATAATTTTGTCGAAACGAATTTTCAGCAATCTAAATTATACGGAAAACAGACAGTATAACAAATGATTAGACCAAACAAATTTCTGCCCAAAGAATACGTATGTGGAATAATTATTCTAATAATAAGTTTTCGGACAAACGATACTTCTGCTGTAAGACATTTCTGTGTTACAAATTTATACCAAAATTGTCAACGCACTAATGAAAAAAAGTCGAACCGTTTTCGGAGTAATGAAATACGGAAAAAAGAAATTCGAGTTTGTGATAGGTTACCAGTAGGACTTCATGATGGCAAACAGAGAATCGTGGTTTTGGCTTATTGACAGAGAAGCGAGCATAGCATTAAATGTATACAGAAATATTAACTTCATTAGTCGTCTTCGGTTATTGGAGTTTAGATTCCTGATAGGAACAATTTAAGAAATGAACCTTTCTAAATTGGTTGTGGTCTGCGTGAACAGGGAATTCTATAGTTTGGGACTTGGTTATTGATGAATCTATATCGCGTGTATTATTATTCTTAATATTAGTTGAAATACATGTTTATTTGCGTTACCTCATTGCTAAGCTTACATTTGAATGGATCGTTCATTGTTTGCAGTTTAATGCAACAGAATACAACCTTACCGGGAGACATACTTCTTGTTTGTGCGTTCATATCTTACGTTGGTTGCTTTACTAAACAGTATCGACTGGATTTGCTTCATAAAAATTGGCTGGTGTTTATGAAGACTTTGGAGGTAAGATTTTAATCTTATAGAAATTTAGTCATTAATAGCATAATAATCCTATGCAACAGTTACCTGTACAATTAGTTTTTGTTTTCCAGCCTCCAGTACCGATAACTGAAGAACTAGATCCTTTAACGATGTTAACAGATGACACGCAAATTGCAATGTGGCAAAATGAAGGACTACCCTCAGATCGTATGAGTACTGAAAATGCTACAATATTATCCAATTCAGATCGGTGGCCACTTATGATCGATCCGCAGGTATAGTTGCAAAAGAACCAGTTATTTTGTAGTTATTTATGATGTCGAGCAAAATTCGTAAACTAAAATCGTTATTTCCGCATTAGTTGCAAGGTGTCAAATGGATAAAACAGAAGTATGGAGAGATACTTCGGGTTATTCGTCTTGGTCAAAAAGGATATTTGGACACAATAGAAAGGGCAATTATTAAAGGAGAAACAGTTTTACTGGAAAATATTGACGAAACTGTTGACCCTGTGTTAGATCCTTTACTTGGGCGTAATTTGATTAAAAAAGGGAGGTAAGTAAATTGTAAAATACCTTCGAAATAGTCTTCCAGGTGTACTGTCACTCATATTGTCACTCATACCAATAGTGATTTGTTGTCATAATTAATTTCAGAGCAATCAAGATAGGCGATAAAGAAATTGAATACAGTCCAAATTTTAGACTGATCCTACATACAAAATTAGCCAATCCTCACTATAAACCAGAAATGCAAGCGCAAACTACCCTAATCAACTTCACAGTAACAAGAGATGGGCTAGAGGATCAATTATTAGCTGAAGTAGTAAAAGCTGAAAGACCAGATCTTGAAGAATTAAAAGCCGATTTGACAAGACAGCAGAATCAGTTTAAAATCCAATTAAAGGGTCTTGAAGATGATCTACTCCATAGATTATCTTCAGCTGGGGAGAATATCCTTGGTGATACAGCTTTAGTTGAGAATTTGGAAACTACGAAGAAAACTGCAGCCGACATTGAAAAGAAGGTGAGAACGTTTACGGTGATACTTGATATCAATATACAGTCTCAAAAAGAGCGTTTCTTGAATGTAAATTTCCTTATAGTCGCCTGACTTTCATTTCATAATCAAAAACAATTCACATTGTAATATAGACTAAAGAGGTAGACGTAGTGTATAACAGTTCTTATTACAACGATTTCAGGTAACAGAAGCCAAAGTAACATCTCTTCAAATAGACCAAGCACGAGAATTTTATCGTCCTGCTGCAGCGAGAGCGTCTCTTTTGTATTTTATTTTAAATGAGTTGAATACTATTAATCCAATTTACCAGTTCTCACTTAAGGTACGGTTTTATATCTTATCCTTATCACATCTATTTCATTAAAATACTTAAATTGGTGATTTCTACCTTCAGGCTTTTAGTGTGGTATTTCAAAAAGCAATTTCTAAAGCGGAGCCAGCGGAAGAAGTTAGCCAAAGAATTAAAAATTTGATTGACTGTATTACCTACTCCGTTTTTCAATACACGTCGAGAGGATTGTTTGAATGTGACAAACTTATTTTTGCGTCTCAGATGACATTTCAGGTACGATGTTATTGCTGTGTTTGACTGACCTTTGATTTTGAATTATAAAAACGATTTATTATATGTATACATAATACTTCGACTACGTCCATTATATGTTTTACTTGTGCTGGAATTTTCAATCTATTCATGTTTACTTAAATTATGAATTTACACAGGTCAATATTACGAAATAACTTTCGTAGTCAAAGGTCAAAGTGTAAACGACAATTCGTATGATGCTTATATTTCGTCTATTGGAATTTTATTCTTATTAGTTTGTTTCTGTATGAGGAAGCTGTTACATCATGGCATATGTAATTATGATTCATAAATGTATTTTTATCGTGCGACAGTTGTAAAAATGTTATGACACTTATTGAACTATATTGATTATCGGTTCTTTAGTCTTCTGTAGTTTCGCTGACATCATCGGTGCAGGGTGTCTGTCTAACTATGTAATGTCGTCATTTACCACCAAATTGTAGTAAAAATGTTTCGGTAATACATTTCAGGTACTTCTCATGAGTGAAGAAATTACCTCTGCTGAACTTGATTTCTTCCTTCGTTTTCCCATCAAACCTCACGTCACAAGTCCTGTGGACTTTCTTTCAAACCAAAGTTGGGGTGGCATTTGTTCATTGGCTGGCAAAGAGGAATTCAGGAATTTGGACAGAGACATTGAAACTTCTCAAAAGAGGTGGAAAAAAATAGTGGAAATGGATTGTCCAGAGAGAGAAAAGTTTCCACAAGTATGTATATTAAGTCACTGTTTGAATATGTTGTGTGACAAGTATGGAAATAATTTAATTTCCGTTTCCTGTTCTAGGAGTGGAAAAACAAAACAGCTCTTCAAAGACTTTGCATGTTAAGAGCATTGAGACCAGACAGAATGACGTATGCTGTCGCGTAAGTTACATTTCAAAATCTGTATATGAACAGGAAGATAAAATACCTCCTACTTATTTAAATCTTTATTACAGAGCATACATTGAAGAGAAAATGGGCGTGAAATACGTAGAAAACCGGACCGTAGAATTCAGTAAATCCTTCGAAGAGACCAGTCCCACAACTCCAATATTCTTCATTTTGTCTCCCGGTGTAAATCCATTGAAAGACGTTGAGGCTCTAGGAAAGATCATGGGTTTCACGGCGGATAATGGAAACTTCCATAACGTGTCGCTAGGTCAAGGTCAGGAGGTGGTTGCTGAACAGGCTATGGACGAATCTTTGCAGAAGGGACATTGGGTAGTATTACAGGTAAGTAGTCACCTCAAGTAGTGATGTTTTATATGTAGGTATACTTTGAATTGTAGTTGGAGAGAAAAACTAAAGTTTTACCAACTTAGGAAATGTAACTATTTTTCACGGTTGACTGTGTCAGTCAACGGTGACCATGGGACCTCTAAAGGGCCCGAAACGTTGATTTGTTTAAAAAAATCCGGAAAAATAGTTTTATTTCCTATGTGTAACAATCGCGAAAACCTAAGAACTCGATATTTTACCACCTTATATAATTCTGTTTTGCAGAACATCCACTTAGTAAAAAAATGGCTTCCTAGCCTAGAAAAGAAAATGGAAAGTTTTGCTCTTGGCTGCCATGAAGATTTTCGATTCTTCATGTCAGCTGAACCGGCTGCAACGGCTGCTGCCCATATTATTCCTCAGGGTATTTTAGAATCTAGTATCAAGATTACTAATGAGCCACCTACTGGGATGCAGGTAGACAAAAAGTATTTTAAAACTTTCAAAATATTTACTTCAAATTAAAATTTTATAAACGTTTTACGACAAAATTATGGTCTAGAGGTACTATAGAATTATACAGACGATACGTAGAATATGTTTATCTTGAGTTAACATATTTATGTTAAGGTTTAAAAATTAATTGACGTGCATAATTTTAGATGCATAGAGGTTTTGTTGATGTTTTAGTAAAACATAATTTATTAACGTGTAGGCAAATATACACAAAGCACTCGACAATTTCAATCAAGAAACTTTAGAGATGTGTGGAAAAGAAGCTGAGTTCAAGGCCATATTATTTGCTTTGTGTTACTTCCACGCTGTGGTAGCTGAAAGAAGAAAATTTGGACCTCAAGGGTGGAACAAGATTTATCCTTTCAATGTTGGTTAGTATCAATTACTTTGAAGGTACTGTTTTAATTTGTATAATGGGATTCATTCGTTGTCATTCGGCCAAACCTCTAATATTTCTTTTAAGGAGTCAACATTATTATTATTAAAAGTTTGATGGAATTTGTGTGTTGTCTGTTGCAGGCGATTTAACAATTAGCGTTTTTGTTCTGTACAACTACCTTGAAGCAAATTCTAGAGTTCCTTGGGAGGATCTACGTTATCTCTTTGGAGAGATCATGTATGGAGGACATATCACTGATGACTGGGACCGGAGACTTTGTAATGCTTATTTGGAAGAATTGATGCAACCTGATCTTGTAAATATATTCGATAATTTCTTTGGCATCTATCCGAAATATTTAATTCCACCGGTGTTAGAGATAACAATTTTTATTTCGATAGGTTGACGGTGAACTTCAGCTTGCTCCAGGGTTCTCTGCTCCTCCAAACACAGACTACGCTGGTTATCATCAATACATAGAAGACGCTATGCCTGCAGAATCTCCGTACCTTTACGGGCTGCACCCAAACGCTGAGATCGGTTTCTTGACGACAACTTCTGAGAATCTTTTCAGAACCATTTTTGAGATGCAGCCGAGAGATGCTCAGTCTTCAGGTGCTGCTACTGTAACACGGGAGGATAAGGTAAGCTAACGTACTTGATACGCATAGAGTTGTCGCGTTTTGAGGCAGTTGCATTTTAAAGTAACGAACAACACTTGTCTTATTAGATACCGACTATACTATACAAAATAATATAAATGTTTCTTGTAGGTGAAACAAATGCTTGACGAAATAGTGGAAAAGTTACCAGAAGAGTTCAATATGGTAGAGATAATGGGTAAAGTTGAGGAAAGGACGCCATACGTTATTGTGGCTTTTCAAGAATGTGAAAGAATGAACTATTTGACGGGAGAGATGAAAAGATCACTGAGAGAACTTGATTTAGGGCTCAAGGTATGAACCATTTTTTGAAGTTTTTAGTCTACATAAATTAGACTAAAATATAGTAATGTGGGGAATGAGGACTGTGAAGCATATTTATGTGTATATTCAGAATTATAACATTTATTAATATTATACAAGCTTCACTTGTAATTTTATTCAGTGTCAAGTATTTGTTGATTTCTAGGGTGAACTAACAATCACATCGGATATGGAAGAGTTGGAGAACGCTTTGTTCTTAGACCAAGTTCCACAGATCTGGAGTAGTAGGGCATATCCATCATTGCTGGGTTTGTCAGCCTGGTTTGTTGATTTACTACTACGTCTTCGGGAGTTGGAGACATGGGCTACTGATTTTGTTGTAAGTGTCTTGATTTTATGTCTTCAGAAGATGGTTTAGCTTCACTTCTATTTGAGACTATTCAGTCATACACATGACGGTCCCGGGGAAGATTTACTCATGGCTATGGGAAGCGATAACTTCAAGATGTTGTTGATGAAGAAGTAGGATCTTTTGGGTAGATATTTCCATTATGGTATACATTTTCAAGATGTCCCATTAAAAATGTCTGATTTCAGCTACCAGCATCGGTATGGCTAGCAGGATTTTTCAATCCTCAAAGCCTATTGACTGCAATTATGCAAAGCACAGCTCGCCGATATGAATTGCCACTTGACAAGATGTGTCTTCAGTGTGACGTGACGAAAAAAATGAAAGAGGAATTCACGTATGTATTAGAAAGGAGGAGACTGTCAATTTATGTATTTGTATTGCATATGTGAAACCAGCATGTGTTTTAAAGATGTTATGTGTGAATATAACTAAATACCTTAAAATGATTTACTAATGCCAAGCTCAGCATGCAAACTAACTGAAAAATCTAACAACATTGTATAACAATGCCTTGATTCTCAGACAGAAAATGTGAATACGACAGCGAGCTGAATCTGACTGCATTTCGTTTGTGAGCATGTGTCACTTTCACATACATGACAATAAAAATGCTCTGTACATAGCTCTTCATACGGCCAATGATGCAAACCATTGTGTGATGTCATTGCGTCTCGTACACATTATGTTTTTTTATACATCTTCTTATTTTTATAATATACCTTATTATTAAGGTTTTAGGTTCCACAACATTAAAGATCTCTCTGTAAGTATTTTCATCTGGACTACATTTTCTAGCTTTGTGCATGTGGACGTTTCCACTATACATAACCTAAATAATCTTAGATTTTTTCATAAAGAGCACTTGGCTTCTCTGCACTGCATGTAAACACGATGTCTTCAATATGTCCTACAGGATAGCTGATTCCAGGTCGTCTCCTCGTGATGGCGCATATGTGCATGGGTTGTTAATGGAAGGGGCGAGATGGGATGTCCAGGCTGGGATTATTATGGACTCCAGGTTGAAAGAGCTTTTCCCGCCTATGCCTGTTATTTATGTCAGGGTGAGGATAAATCTCTTTGAATTTATTTCATATTCATATTCCGATTAAAAAAATTCAATTTCCATGATCAGTGGAATACTTTTATGTAGACATATTAAGATCAACCCACATAATACGTCCCACTGCTGGGCACGGATCTCCTTTAAGAAGCGGGATAGGCAATACTCTGCCACTCTGGCCAAATGCAGGTTGGGACTACACACGTTTTTGAAGGGTTGTGAACCTTCGTCGACATGCAGGTTTTTGTAGCTGTAGAGCTCCTTGTGAAAGAGTTCGTCGAGGGAAATACTGCCACCTTAACTATTTCTGACTTGGTATCATAAAAAAAGGTTTCATCATGAAAATTTCTTTCACATTTAACGAGAGGTATTGCTGCAAAACATTTATAAATGTGTGTATGACTTAAAAATGAAAGTTATAAGTACATTACAGGGAATCATTTTCCACCGGGCTACCACCGCTATAATATTTATTTGAAACATTTCTTCATCATAAAAATCCTACATTAATTGTTTTATTGAAAGTCAGGATGTTCCACTGTCATGATAATCAATTATTTTTTGTGAAATTATTCCAATGTTTTGTTATAATTATTAATAGAAAGATCGAAACCTTAGAAAACAACCCTTTGATCCGGCCGGATTTGAACCGACTCCTCTAGCAAACCGTGCCAGACGTCATGCCAACTAAGCCACGGAATGAACCAGCGGAACTCACTAATCTTTCTACGTGCTTCTTGTCGGATCTTTCTATCTTTTTCTGTTTTAACGACTTTTTAGCTGTAGTGCCATCTATCAGAAATCTATGAAAGTATTTCGTCACCCAGTTAGGCACCTTTACAGTTACCAGCCTTGGCTAAAGATGTCGCTATTCACTATAATTAAGTGTTTTATTGAATGTCAAGATATTTCACCACCACGATACTTTTTATTTTTTGTGAAATTACTCCACTAGTTTGTTGATTTGATGATTAATAATTATTAATACAAAGATCGAACTCTTAGAAATAATTCCTTCGATCCGGCCGGATTCGAACCGACCTCTTCTAGCATACCCTAAAATCCTACATTGTTTTATAAAATTATATTTTTTTATGATAATAAGTTTAGTAACAGGACTAATAAGTCGTGCGCCTGGTGGTAAACGACAACCTACCTACCCATAATAGTTACAGTGCCACTCAAGAGGTTTTAATCGCTAAGTTGACAAGTCCAGCCCCCGTAGTATGGCTACGTATGTTAGTCGCGATGCGCGCGATAAAATTAGAATAAGCGCGCGCTATTGGCTGTCTCAATCAGATCTAATTTAGATAGCCAATAGCGCGCGCTTATTTCAATTTTATCGCGCGTGTCGCGACTATCATGCGTAGCCATATTACGGGGGAATATGTGCTTGTTGTTTCACCAGCATTATTTTCACCACTGTCTATATTACAAAGATTTTGTTTATGATACCAAGTGACAGGACACAAGTCGTGCGTCTGGTGATAAACGACACGCCTGTTCATATATTGCAGTGCCACTCAGAGCTTTAAATCACAACAATCTGAATGGCATTGCCACTGCGCCTGTCACCTTAAGACATTAATTGGAAAATCCTATGTACTTGTACTCCTATCCTATCCTATCAACAGCAACTTTTTTAGCTCGCTCGGGCGGCCCTCTTTCCACGGCGCGTTTTCAAAAGCAAAAAAGTCGTCAAAACGTGTCGCGGGCCGTTGGAAGCCACCTTTACCCTTCATATTTGGAATGCAGTACTCACTTACTACTTGTCGGCAGAACTTCCCTGAATTTACTCTTTCACAAGGACCTCTACTGCTACTTATTGATTGATTGTATATTTCTACAACTTTTCGACATTCTTCAGGCAATAACTCAAGATAAGCAAGATCTCCGCAACATGTACGAGTGTCCAGTGTACAAAACGAGAACCAGAGGTCCTACTTACGTGTGGACTTTCAATTTGAAGACCAAGGATAAGCCTTCCAAGTGGACTTTAGCAGGCGTCGCTTTGCTTCTGCAAGTCTAGATATTTTGTTTTAGTTTTGATGTAAGTACGTATAAATAGTTATGCTATATTATTGTTTGTCTTTGTTATTGTTTCTTAGGATACCTTGTTATAATTATGTATTTTGTATTGTTTAGTCTTAATCTGTATTGGTTTCTAGAGTGGTAGTTTTAATTATGTAATAATATATTTGATGATTATTGCAAACAACTTAATTTAATTTCTACTCCATCTGATGTTCAGTTTTGGTTGTGTTTTTTGTAATATTTATAGCATTTGTTTAGTTACAAATGTCTTATGTTGGTAATTGTTATTATTGTAATTGTTAGCAGAAACTAGACTTATAAATTGCTAAAATTATTTATTTAATTTAATGTGAATTCGTTACCATTCAATATAATAAATTCATCTTTTAATTTGGGTTTGATTGCCTTAATCTTTATAGGACATTTCAGTGGTCAAAAACAGTTACACGAAAACTTTCAATGTTTCAAATACAGTATACCTTGGTGAAAGAAAAAAAATCGTAAATATACATAATATGCAGTGTGTTTTTTTAAATTGGAACGGTATGTGGAAATCCGTAACCATAGGTGTTACAGGAAACCTGTCTTAGAACCCATTAAGTCTTTTTATGTGAAAACAATTTAGGTTAAGCGTGATTCATCCATAAAAATTAATAAAATGATTATTTTTTTAGTATTCATTGACTTAGTTTCATATGAAGATCATTTCATTGTATTGGAAAAAACAAATAGAGCAGCAGAAGTTGGTCAAATTTAATAAAATATTTTTTCATATAAAATGAATAAAATTGACAATTTTTTTCAATGCTGCGACAAACAAAATGCAAAATATTCCGGGTCGTATTCCAGAACTCTACTCAATGCTCAAGTCAGGACTTTAGTATGATTTAAAGCAATATAAATCATCCACATTAGGGTCGTATTTCCAATGCTTGAAATTGTACTCGAGTCCTGACTTCAGCACTGAGTAGAGTTCTGGAATACGACCCTCAGTTTCTTACATGGATAACTTAATTGTATCGAAAGAAAAAATCGGGACAACTTGGCCAAATTGAATAAAATATTATTAAGTAATTTAGTTTGAAAAAAAAACTTCCGCTGTATCGGTTTTTATCCTCCAATTAAATGATCTTTATATGGACAAATAATGTAGGTACCTTGCATAAATAATGTACGTAAGTAACTCAATTAACGAAATTAAATCCCACATAAATTTTTTCAATTTAAGTTAAAACGTGTTCTAATTACATGTGGTACGAGTATAATTAATATTTGGGAGTGAATAGACATTATGTAGGTGTACATGGTCCGTCGTCAACCACATTGTCGCTTTCCATCAGGTGAGATAGAGGACTTATTTTTTATTTGTAAAAAAGACGAAATGGAGGTCAAATGCGCACCTATTTTTTTTTAATAAAATATAGTCTCGCCTAAGGCTCGATTTATGATGCCGTGGAAGGGAATGGAGGCGAATTTTTGCAGCAAAATTGTACATAGCATAATGAATTTTATATTAATTGTGAACGTACAAACTAGAATTATCTCTCGTATCTTGTTTGCATATATTATGATTATATATTATATATTATGATTACAAAAATTCGCATAAATTGAGCTTATGATTGTTAACTCTTAGTTTTATTTACTTATCTGATATTCAGAATCCTTCACTTTCACAAATGTGCCAGACAATCGCACTGATTGCCTGGTCTCAAACTAGGGAATTCCCTGTACTATAAGTACCTGAACAATGGAATTCGCTCTGGGGCACTTCCAAGAACACCAAGACCAGAATCAATTTAGAAAAGTTAAAATCCCAAATTTGTCCTCCCGGGAATCGAACCCTGGACCTTCGCATCCAGCGCCCACAAAGTTCAACTTCAAATTCAAAAATCATCTTTATTTCGTATGAAGACGTCATATTGATAATCTCTACCGCTCATTCGTAAGGCAGATTCCCTTGAGAAAAATGAGCAAGAAACTCCAGTATGTATACACTAAGGCCACCGGGGTCGTCATGTGTCGAATGAAAGTTTATTTTGACGTTACATTTTATCTAAACTGCGATGTGTCATCTTAACAACAACTATGTTAATCATTCACAATCACAAGTGAAATTGACACCTTGCATCGTTGCGTAGAGACATAGAAAGCAGCTTTCATAATTTAATCTCTTCAAAACGTTATAGCATTGTCAATGATGGTACAATACGGTTTTAGAAAGGTTAATAGGTAAAGGTCGAGAAACGGGATAGAGGCATCGATGAGTTTTTTATCACATGGCGCTTGTCTATTACACATTAGCGTTAGTTATAGGAAGTGAAACATGTTTTAATCTATTCTAATTTTTTATTATATATTAATAGTAAAAGTTTAATTTAATAAAAGTAATTTGTAAAACATGTGTAGTGTAAACTGGAATTTTCATTGTAAAATTTAAAAAGAAATAAATACAATTCGTACGCCCTGTGGTAAGCGACACGCCTACCCACAGTATTCGCAGTGCCACTCAGAGCTTTAAATCATAAAGATCTGACAGTAGGGGATAGTCACTGCGCCCGTCACATTGAGACATAAGTTGACAAGCCCCATGTGCCTGTAATTTCACCATCATCCTTACCATTCAAAACTGGAAAGCATTAAGACTCAAGTTATTGCTTGGTGGCAGAAATGGTAAGGTGGCAGTATTTTCCTGGACGAACTTTTTCACAAGGAGCTCTATTACTACGAAAAGACGGACATTCAAACGCCTAATCATTAAAAGGTATATAATAACTAAACTAGAGATACAGTACCATTGTCTTATGGACATAAAAGGACACTGTTTCTCTGAATTGAGCGGTGGTTCTAAAAGGTTTCTATGCGAACAGACCTACTTACAACCAGAAGAAATGATAAGGGCTCGTGCAGCGAACCGGTAATATTTCGCGACTGCGGTCGCACCGACTCGCTGCGACTTGTTTTAACATGGAAAATTAAATGGCTTAGTGCAGCGTGCCCGCGACCGGCGACCATTTGTCGTGAGACTTGCAGCGATCAGCTGTCGCAAGTCGCTTGCGACTACTACTAGATGATCAATGAATGTTCCTATTATTATTATATTATCATCTAAGTATTTAAAATTATAATAATGAACCCAGTTAAGTTAATTGATGCAGTTCGTAATCGCCGCAGAATATGAATTGGATGAATATTAAATCTCCTTCTTATTCTTCTTATGGCACGGAACCGTAAAATGGAATTTTCCAACTAAAAAAATTTTGATAATAGTATGGATATAGATCCATTTTTACTGTAGGTTCGATAATTATTCGAAAAAAATATTCGAAATTTTACAAAGCTATCGGTCGGTCGCCGGTAATGTTACGTTGCTAGTCGCCCGCATGCTGCACTATATTTCGTCGTTAGAAGTCGTTGCGAGTCGATGCGACTGCACTTGCGATATATCGCCGGCACGCTGCACGAGTCCTATTACATGATAAAATCACAGAACATCAACAATCTTCAGCCGAACGATATCCACCTATTAAACACATACATATTTGAATAATAAAAATTGGAAGTATGATAGATACTTAGAAAATTTAAAAAAGGCCATCCAGGCCTAACTAATTATTGAATCGACTTCATCAAATATATAAAGGTCACCCGTCGTTAGAGATGTATGAGTCATATAAGGTGTGTTTTGAATGTCATCAAATTATTATTACCTACTACCGATTCTGAAGTCTCAGTTTTCTCACAGTGAAGGGGAATTTTATGAGAAAATTGATTTCATTGATTGCGGAAGTTATGAGGATATAATATGTTTCGAGATCTCAGGTTTTTGCGATTATTAGACTTAGGAAAGAAGCCGTGGTAACCTAATGGTTTGACCTATCGCCTCCGAAGCAGAGGCCGTAGGCTCGAGAACGGACACGCACCTATGAGTTTCTCGGAATTTATGTGAGAAAGTTAATTTAAAATTTACCATGAGCTGTTTGGTGAAGGAATACATCGTAATGAAACCTGAACGCTGAAGAAGGGTCACAACCTTCGGAAAACGCGTGAAATCCTCAAACCGCATTGCGCCTGGGCGTGGCGGGCTATGGCCTACCGTCGGTCGACTGAATTTATTTTTTCAGATCTAAATCGCGTTTGTTTGTTTTTTCAAACAAACCAAGTTTTAGGCTGACTGGGACCGCTTCTTAGAAGAGACCTATACCCAAATTCATACGGGACGTCAAATTTGAGGTTCAAATTGATTAAATTTCGAGATTCCATAGTAAGGTATTTAAAAACACGAACATAATTTTGAGACTGACAACCTTCATTTTCATTAAAATATTATTATGCATAATTAATTCATTTTAAAAGGACAAATAGATCGTTTTACTAACGGATATTGTATATTAATTAGTGATGACTGATGACAAAAAAACTAATTTTGTTGATGATCAAACTTCAATAAGATTGATGGTCAAACTTCTGAATATATATTTTTTAATGCTATAAGTTGCTATGTATGAATGAATGAATGAAATATTCTTTATTGCAATTAGAATTACAGTTAAAATACAATAAAGTAACTTAGGTATAAAGATAGTAAGATAATGTGCAACAGGCGACCTTATTGCTATGTAGCAATTTGTTCCAGGCAACCTTAGGATAGAATATCATTATAAGTACACTATATAATTATTCTTAATAAACTCATAAACGTAGATAGAAATATCCATCCAAAATACAGAACAATACATAAATAATAATAATAAATGCTTATATACTTTAAAAGGAAAAAGAAAAATGAAAGAATAAGTATAGGAAATAAATGAAAGGGTAGTGGAGAAAAAGACGAAACTTAGGAGTTGTGGAAGTGATCCTTGACATGTCGTTTGAAAGAATCAAGAGAAGGTTCGTCAATCGATTCATGGAGAGAATTTCACAGTCTGATCGCAGAAACGGTAAAAGAGTTGGAATAAAATTAAGAGGTATGGGATGGGCATGTTTAGTAAG